CCAGCTGCATCCACTTGTGCACGGACCTAGGAGAAGCAGTAAGATTCTTCTTAGGCAAGAGTGCTGAAGAAAAAGTGAGACTTTTCCTTTGTTATTGGCTGTTTCCTTCCACTCCCCTTCTTTTTTCTTCTCCAATTAATTTGAATTTTGAAGAAACCACTGTATGTTGACTAAATTGCACGCACAGTCTGCCCTAGGAGTTTTATTTGTGATTATAATTATATATTTTTTTGTGATATTAGCGATTGGCCTCGTGCTGCATGCCCTGCCCATGTCCAGTGAAGGTGCCACCACCCAGGCCGAGACAGGAGGGTTACTCATTGCAAAGGCTGATTTACAGATCCCCTTTCCCCTTCTCAGGGCAGTTTTGCTTAATTCRTATTGTATTTGCTCTTCCTGTTTTCCAGCATGTGCCTTAAGGTTATCCCAAGAGCGGTAGGAAACGCCCTCCTTCCTCCTGCCCGTTCCAGCTCGGGAGCTAAGCCACAAGCGCTGCCGCGCTCGCTCCTGCCAGATCGCTCCTGGTAGCCATAGGTATAGATATGAATATAGATGCAGAGTTAAATGAGTTATTACATAATTTTTAATTGTTAATGCTGGAAAATGAATGCCCGTTGGGAAGTCTCCGTTTGGACRCTTCTTGGTATCTTGCTAGCAGCTTTGGTTATTGGACCCCCGCCAAGCCTGGCGCCTTGAGGAGAATTGGACCCTTTCAAGTGGTTGAGAGATGCAGTTGAGTGTGTGAAACCAGGGGTCTGGAAAACGGGGTGGCGATTCCTGCCTTGGAGGGGTGCAGGCAGCACCCAGGTTTTCGGGTGCTGCCGCGCGGCTCCTTCRTGCTTTGAAAGAGATCAAGGCCTTGCTGTAACTCAGGGAATATTGCTGGTGTCAGAGCTAATTGCTGCTCTCCCTTTACAAACAGGATTGTGATGACTCCTTAGCTTCTTCCCAGATTTCCCTGCAATCTGGGGTTGCGGACTGCAGCTCAACCRTATCTTTCTTCTAAAATATGGGTCATTTTGGTCTCATGCTGTTCATGGATGTTGAACTACAAGTAAAGAAGCAGTATTTTGCTACATATAAATAATAATTAAAGCATATGTTTGCTTTTTTCTTTTTTTTTTTTGAATTGTTGGAATTACAGTTTTACTTTGTTAAAGCAGCGAGGTTAATAAACTTTTCAGAAAGATGCACAAAGTGATGCTTTAAATGTGCCAATGTGCTTAATCTTTAATGGAAAAGAAAGTAGCTGACTGCCATGCTGCTGTAATAAAATCTGCAGGCAGAATTATTTCCCTCAAAATAATTTTAGATGAAAATATGCATATTCTTGCATGGTTTTCTTGCCTGCAAGCCAAAGAGAAGGGGTAATAAGGGACTGAAAGCAATAGGGAAATCTTGTGTCTTTTGGGGACATTTCCATGTGATTTAGCCTTTCTGTCAAGAAAGGTGTGCTGGTAAGAGGTATTAACAGATGCAGGCTAAAGGTGTAGGATGTTCCTACACTGTCACTTTTAATGAATGTCTTGCCTTTTAAGTATCCTTTTAAAATAATACAGTATATCTTACAATATATACATGTATGCATATATCCCCAATAGTTTGTCTGCTTCCTCTGGTGACAAATGTTTGTTTTATGCGAAGCGCTGTAGCTGAAGAGCACATATGGCTACATGAATAATTTAGAGGAAGGGCTCCCTTCGTACACCTAGCAAATGCCACCACGCCGTGAAACGTCTCCGCTCAGAGATGAGATGGAAATTAATTCCTTTAATGGTAAGACCAGGAACATACACTTTCCTATGACAAGAAAAACATTTGGGATGCCACTGATTATGCGAAAAGCCATCACCAAGCTGCTGAATAGATTAGTCCTTCTCATAGACTGATACTTGCTTGCTTGCCCTGTCTTTCTCTATATGTATCTTTATCTGTATAGATATTTGTGACTGACTGTTAGATTTTGAAGAAAAGTTTGAAGATTTTTATGTTTAGAGGGGGCAGCATCTTTAAGCTTTGTGTTTGAGGGGAGCAGCAAATTCTTGAACAATTTTAGTCACTGTGAGCAGCGTCCTTGTGTCGCTTTGCTTCTCCCTGCTTTATTTTACCCCCATAATATTGCAAATGTCTCTTGAAAAACAACAAAATGAGAAGTGAAGATACAACTTGCTGTGGTTTTCAGTGTCTGGGTGCTGCTGTAGACATGTTTCCATGTCAGGTGAGATGCTGCCAGCTCAGTTTGCACATGGAGAGCCCCCCGGGCACATTTGCACTAGTGCATCAGTCCCTTGGCTGGGGACTTGAAAACTCGTCARCAATCTCTGGGAGAAACGCTCGTGTCATTGGCCTGCCCTTGTTAGCAAACTAGTTTTAGAAAGCTGTAACCCTATCTTGGACTGAGATGTCCTCATCGCCTGTTTAGAGGAGGGGAATAAAAGCAAATATCCTTTGCAGATCTGCCTTGCTGGAAGGCAGAGGGAGAGGCAGCCTAGGGGGGTGGTTGGGCTCCCAAACCTGGGGTGTTCACGAGTACTCCCGAGGTGCTGCTGCTCCCTCGCTCCGCACCATTCCTCAATGTCTTTTTCTCATTCAGACTATTTGCAATAAATTATTGAAACCAAGCATGTGTTTTGAATAGTTAATTAGAAAATCAATGATTTTTTTGAACAGAATATTGGGTTTATGAATTTGACAAGTTTATTTGCTGTTAGACTGCAATTGGTTTGCATTTAGAGCTCCATTTATGCCACGTAACTCAGCTTTCTCTTATCCTTTGATAACTTTTTCCTGTTTAACCATTTCTTGGTTAGTCATAAAAACTTTTGCTCCCAGGGAGTGCTGCTGCCCGTTGCTTTGGTGCTCGCCTACTGCCTGCATGAAGCTGCTGGCAAAGGGCAGGCCCTTGGGGCATCTTCACCTCAGGTATCCATGAGTGGTGTTTTGCACGTGCCAACTTTCTTCCCCATTGCTCGGAGCCGGTCTCCTGTCCGCGTGCRCCCGCTCGGGTGCATATGGTCCCTGCAAGGCAGGCCAGGCTGCTGTCACTTTGAGCACCGCGTGGCAGAGCACAGCGACCTTCCCATTGGGACAGGCTCCGGGGAGACGCTTTTCGGAGGGGAATCGGTGGCCCCGGAGCCAGGGCAGGCAGATGGAGGGGTGCAGACCGTGGCGGCTCGTTCCTTGCCTCTCTCTCACGTACAGCTCTGAACCACAATCTGGTGTTTGTAGGGGGTTCTGTTCCATAGAAAAGGTCACCAACAAGCTTGTGAGCACGTGTGCATGAACAAATCGAGGGCTGGGTATTTCGGGAAATCAGATGCAATCATACTCTTATTCCAGACTGTGACTTGTTCTGAAAATCAGTGTTGTTATTCCTTGAAGCAATATGCGGATAGTCTGTTTTTGTGGGACGCCGTACCAGGGTTTCATGGATATTCAGAGTTTGGGTGCCTGTGACTCCCAAGGCACCTAACTAGTCACAACACGAGCAGGTGCTRATGTCTCCATCCTGAGTTTGCAGTGTGGGCACACAGGTGAGCACTCCTGTTTTGAACCTGCWTCTTTAACAGGTGCTTTTCCAAGATATTAAGTTTCAGGATTTCTAAGCTTCTGTCACAAAAAGGCCTAGTGTGCTAAGGAGGCACTGCTTTTTGCTGGTAGTTTGGACAATTTTTCAGCAGCCTCATTAGCGCATCCAGCAAGTCATTCCTGCGTCCGCTGCCGTGTTGCTCCAAAAACGCCCTGTCTGTGGATCGCTGCTTAGCGAGCGCTGAAGGGAGGAGAACTATCACTATGGGTAATAAAAACGCCACCGGGAGCCGGAAGCTGTGATTTATTTGGGCACACTGAGTAGCGCGGCAAGCAGCGCTCTAAAGGTCACTTGTCTCAACTAGAGCTTTTATCTCGCTCAAATGGAGAGCGAGATCGCGCCGGTTCCCTGCACATAACCCCTATTAAGTGTCTTTTACATCACGTATTGCAGAGCCCGAGCTGCTTGGCCGGTGCCGGTCCCACCAGCTCTGCACYGGGACCTTCACACCCGTCTCCAGCGTGGGAAATGGATCCTGCTCGGTGCAACTTTCCCATGCTGGAACATAGYCTTCAAAGCACGGTATTTCCTCTGYGCATGGAGCGAGTTCATGGTTTTATAGCCGCTGTTCAGGTGGAGGTGGTGGGAGTTGGGCCACACTTCAGCAATCTGCTAGTTTTCAGTTAAAAACAATTCCTGCCTTTYCAAGCATTGGTGAAGAGCAAGATGCCAACTCCCAGCTGGAAGCGGGTGTGGAGCCTTGCCCTGCTTGGGACTCTGGGAGCCGTTGGATTTGACTATTGTGGAGCCCCTTATTGGACATAAAGATATGGAAGTAGGACTTGAGGGGCTGCAGCAGCCYGTGGGCTCCCAACACTGTCTTGGAAACACAAATATTGGATGTCGGGGGCGCTCCCGACACCAGCTGCGATCTCACAGAGYAGGTGACTGCGTCCTCGGCACTTGTGTCTAGTTGAATAATGGACATCACAGGTGCCATTCCAAGCACCGGTGCCTCCTTCTTGCAAGCTCATATTTGCAAAATTCACCTTGGGCTATTCAYGTTTGCTGGCTTTTACTTACTAGGACTGAATATTTGACCTAGTGGTGGGCATGTTTGTTCGGAGTGTTTTTGTTCTGCAACGGAACAAGCCTGCTTCTCATCTTGCCCATCGCCTGGCGAGTCAAAGTGACTTGGGATTTTCTTTTTCTCTTGTGTCCCAACACCTTTTAAAGAAAAAATCATGTAAAATTAGTATGTTTTCTTTTTCTGTTCAGTAAAATGTAAATTTAAACAGTTCTGGAAATACGCATGACAGAAAATAAATGAACCAAGGCCTGAATTTAGAGCCCTGGTTATTCTCTAGTATTTCATGTGATTCTGATTCTTTAAAAGCGTGCTACTGACTTGCACTTTTTTATGTGTGATGCTTATGTTCCCCCTCTTTCCCCCACTCCATTCCGCTTGCAGCTGCCGGCGGATCTTACCAAGATGCACCTTACGGACAACCCGCACCCGCAGGTCACCCATGTCCCGTCGAGCCAGTCGGGCTGCAGCATCGCCAGCGACTCGGGGAGCAGCAGCCTCTCCGACATTTATCAGGTAAAGGTTCAGCCTCAGGCTTCTAAACACAAGGAATTTATTTCTAGGATACTCGGTGCCATACCATGCATCATGAAGACTTGTTTTTCCTTGGCAATTATCATGATACGTTTCTTTCTCAGCTGCTGTTCTCTTGTGGATTGACAAATTTGCATTTATTTTTTTTACCTGTTTAGTTTTACCAGTGCTCAGCTTGATGTTCTTCTCTTTTTCTTTTTTTGGCCATCTTTCATTTCTCGCTTTAATAGTAGATGCTCTGTGCTGGCAACAACCTCATTGCCCAGYGATAATTCCGATTGCAGTTAAGGTTTTGATACTGAAATGGATCATTTATAAAATATGCATCAGGGAGTGCCCCTTCCTAAAGATCCTTGTGTGTGTCCTGAGAGCAGGTGCAGATTAGTGGGTCGGGGAGGGCTGCAGCGCTGGCTGGGAAGCTGGACGTCGCTCCCATCTTGCCAGCGGTTTTCGTGGAAGCGGCTGCTTCATCCGTGCCCGGCCCGCGGCAGGAAAGTGCTGGTTTCCTGTGATCTTGTGTCCTTGAAAAGGAGGAAAAGGGGAGGTTGACTGATCATCCTGTGCAAGATACAGAGGGAAATGGTGGTGTAAAATCRCTGCTCTGGAGAAGCCAGTGCCTGAATGCAGCTGCCTTCGCTTGGGGCTGCCGGGGTGGGAACTGGAGCGGGACTCAGGCTGCGGAAGCGACCGGGAATCGTGGCTGTTTTGACGAAGAAATGCTGGAAAAGTCCTTGACTAAAATGCRGTGCTGATCGTGTGCTGCTGAGACTCTCCAAGCACAATTTGCAGTTGGGCTTAATTCCAGAACTGTTAATGTGAGCTGCATAAGCCAGTGAAGTGATGTAATGTGAAAGGATTTAACCCTGTATATTGTTACCCTCCTTGGAAGGAAACCCTTGTTAAATCAATGGAGCCTTCTCTCTCAGATTTAATGGATAATTATTAAAATGAAGACAAGCTGGAAGGTCCAAGGTTTTATGTAAAAACCAATGTTTTCCTGGCTGCTGAAAGAAAGAAATGCTGCTGAATCTGTCAAAGTATTGAGAGCTGCATTAGCAGACCAGCTTGAAGTGTGTGGGAATAGGGAGACAGCACAGTCTGCTGTGATTAAATCGCTGAAAAATCGGYGTTTCCTATGAGGTAACTGTGTCCTCTAAACCAGCTACCAGCTTGYGGGCAGATTGCTCCAAATTGCAGGCAAATACCCGCTCCATAAATTGCATCGAGTTGCTGATTGAGTTGAAACACTTTGAGCTTAAGAAGAGGGAAAGAACTCTTCTGATTTTTTTTATTTACTATTTAATATCCAACCACTGATGGAGGTTTGCAGTGGTTATTTATTTGTACCCAATGGAGCCCTGGTCCAGGGCACCGCTGTTTCATTGCAGTGRTACTGTCTCCATTTGTGCTTTTTATTCTTAATAAAATGATGTAAATTACTGCATTAAAAAAAAATAAAAAGAAAAGAGAAAAAAAAAAAAGACTTTTGCAGAACTTCACAATTTATGCCAATGCCAGCGGGAGTTCATGTATAGAAAAATAGAATAGTTTTCTATTAATTTAGTGCAAAAATGCAGTTGCAAGGATTACTGCTGTGTTAACATCTAGTACTTTGTCATCTTCTATTAAAGTCATTGTATTTGCTGCTGTTCGTTATGGTTTCGTCTGACCTCGTTATGGGTTTTTGTTATTCAATAAAATGGATATTTTGGATGTTTAGTTGAAGGGATTACCCTTAACAGAATAAAAAATAAATAATCTTTATTAATGGATAGTGCGAGTAAGTAAAGCACGGAGGCTTAGCGCGTGTTGCCAGAAGCACATCGGAACTGCCCCGGGGACAGGCAAGTTGCTGTGTGGTGATCCGGGGATGGAAATTTCACCATTGCTCACGTTATTGGGCTGTTTTCAAACCCAGGCCTTTCTTGTGAGGCCTGTGGACATGGAGAGTGGCTCGTTAGTTTATTCTCTGTACATCCCAAGCATTTGTCTTGGTTTTGCAAGAGCAAATACTCTAGGTTTTTATTTTTCCTTTGCTTTAAAAGTCATGTGTTTTTCTGCATATCTCCATAACTGCCTTATACTTCACCCTGGCACATCTTATTGCTCCAATCCCAAAAATGTAAGCCAAAGAGAAAAATCATTTGCATGATGGCTTATATTAAAAATAAGTGATTGATGAAATATTCTGTACAGTCTGAAATATTGAAAGTAATTCTAAACTTTTTTTCCCTTCCATCAGTTTGAAAAGTTATTTTCCTGCATTTAAGTCATTTAAACTTTACATGTTTCTTCTGTGACTGTTTTCCATGGCCAGCGTTGCTTTCTCTTTCCTTAACACCTCCTCTCTGCGTGATGTCTCTATTGCCATCTATTGATGGCAATGGAAGTATTTCTACAGACATTGGGTAGCCAAAGTAGTTATTGAACTGGATGATTTAGTGTTTTAATTTTTTTTTTTTTTTTTAGTTAATAATATTATTGACTCTTGAATTTTGAAAAAATACTGCTTATGGGAATTCACAAGACTAAACCTTATAAAAGAGAATTGGGCAAGAGCAGGGGAAAAAAAGTAGCCTTCATGTCCTTCTATTGTTGAATGTTTCTATTCAACCCTCATACCTGTAACGTGGATTATAATTCTGGCATAGAACAGTACTGAAATTGAAGGCAAGAGCAAGTCCCTTTAATTTTAGTTATTTACTCTGGTTACTTTTCCTCGTTGTCACACTGTCAATATTAATGGGATTATGAAGCTTCTAGTTCAGTGGAGCCAGAGGGAAAAGAGAATTAGGTATAAAAATAAATAAAGATGGAGAACAAATTGTCTAATACGCTAATTCTCTTTTCAGAAGTGATGATTATAATTCATGTAGCATGGTGTTATTTTATGCCAATAGTCTGTATTTATGTTAGCTTTCCTTTAACTACAGAATTTAGTATAAGTATCTAAGATAAGTCTGTAAATCATGGAAGTGGAGGCATTGAACTCTTTGTCTGATGGATGTCTTCTCCATAGGCTACAGAAAGTGAGATGGGAGATGTTGATTTAACAGGTCTTCCAGAAGCACCTGTAGACTCTGAAGATGAAGAAGAAGAAGAAGATGAAGATATTGACAGAACTTCAGACCCACTTCTCGGGCGAGATGTTGTACGAGAGTGCCTTGAGAAAGAGCCTGCAGATAAAACAGATGATGATATCGGTGAGGAAAAGAAAAACTCCATGTAAAACTACATATGGAAGTACCAGGAAGAGAAGTCTATCTAAATTTGTTTAATTCATAGTGATAAATGTATGTCCTCGTAATTATAAGTGATTGCTTCTACAGGACATTTTGCTCTAATGATACTGTTAATTGAATGCTTTTCTTCTAATACCTGAGAGAAGTTTTGTATGGAGAAACTAATAGTTTTTAAATAAGCAGCGTTTGCGATATTGAGATATCTTTAAGATATTAAGTATTGCAGTGATCCTGCCCCTTGAGAAAAGGATGGAATTAGTACCAAGGTAATTCTGACTGCCTGGAACTGTTGAATTTGGTACGTAGTACCAAAGGGAACATATTAATACGGCAGTTCAGGCATGCTTAATTTTCAACTGCAAAAAATTTAATATGAAAAAATTGCCGCAAAGTCCAACCAGAAAGTGCTATTAGCTTAACGCTAGATTTTGGCTATGCTGYACTTTTTCCCCTCTGATTACTTCTCTAAACGTTGGAAAATCATTTCATGCTATTAACAAGCTTATAATTAACCATATAGTAAAGATATTTTTAATTCTCCCAAATGTTTGAAGTGGAAGTGCTTTTCCAGTTAGCTAAATTGCTGCAGTAATAGCCAATGCCAGCACGATCAGGACGGCAGAGCTGAGCTCCCATCGCTGGTGATAAGGTGCCTCCTGGGCTTCTTTAGCCACAGGTAGTAATAGCAGCTGAGCAATTCCTTCCGTGAATTTAGCTATGAAGTTTAATATACCTGTTGAGGTACATTAAATTGTATGTGTGTTTAATCAAATTGTCAGGGTAAAGGGCGTGAGGAAGCCCTGGGCCTTGCAGGCTTCATATCTGTGTTTCTTTTGTCCGACAGAGCAATTACTGGAATTCATGCATCAGCTCCCTGCCTTCGCAAACATGACTATGTCCGTAAGAAGGGAACTTTGTTCTGTGATGATATTTGAAGTGGTCGAGCAAGCAGGAGCCATCATACTGGAAGATGGGCAAGAAGTAAGTACCACACACAACGTAACTCGAGCACCGCAGGCACTAGGTCGGCAGGGGCGCTTGGCTGTGGGGGGCTCTGAAAAAGCTGTTCCCCATCTCTGCACCTCTCCCACACCTGGAACATCAGAGAAATCTTCTTTTCTTACCCTSATCCATATCCAGCATCCACAAATTATATCCCATTCGTTTGAAAGATTCTGCTAATCCTATTAACTTTTTTCAAGACTTCAGTATGATTTAATACAGACATAAAGTAGCCTTCCATAGGTTACGTTGCAGTTGTTCAGGCTCCTGTATTAGCTGCTGTGAATGATTATTGCAAGATACCTCTCTGTCCTTTGGTTTAATAAACAAGCCAAAACAAATACCAGCAAAAAACAAAGGCCGTGGTGAGAGGAATGTGTATCCCAGCCTCTTGTCTCTGATGGTSGGTTCTCTGGGGAAGAGTGTAAGGACAGGGCAGGGGCATCATTTTAACTCCTGCACTTGAATCTTTTAGCTGAGACTTGTTCAGGAGTGGCGTGGTTGGGAGTGAGGATCATTTGGTGTGAATATTTTTTCTACAACTTCTGTTTTGATTGCAAGATTCTAATCTTTTCTCTGATGTTGACTGTTCACTTGTCCTCTTTTWATGGCTTTCTAGTTTCACTCTCACTAAACAGAGTAAATATTTCGTAGTGATTAATCCAACTGCTTCCAAAACAATCCATTTATCAGCATTACTCCCTGCAAATWAGTACTGGGAATTTGAATTTGTTCTTGTTGCAGTCATCTTTATTGCTTGCCTTGCTCTGCACCCYTTAATGAAGTAGGTACTGCAAAATATTTATATACTGTGATGCCAACAAACCTGAGACTGAGAATAAGCCTCTCTGAGAGAAGAGCCTTGAAATGTGCAGAGCGTGGAAAGTTGTTGAATGAACCTCACTCTTTGTTTCCGTTCCCTCTAGCTCGATTCTTGGTACGTTATTTTAAATGGCACAGTGGAAATCAGCTATCCTGATGGGAAGAGCGAGAGCCTCTGTATGGGCAATAGTTTTGGGATTACTCCCTCTCTGGACAAGCAGTACATGAATGGTGTGGTTAGAACCAAAGTTGATGATTGTCAGGTAAGACTACAGTTTCATACAAGTATTTCCGATTTTTAAACCTCTAATAAAAGAAATCAGGATACTGTCATCTTAAGGCATGATCTTTATTGTAGGAACAGAAAAAAAGAAGTARGTATTTGGTGGGAAAGAGGATCTGCTGACACTGAACTAGTGCTGAATTAGTTGCACGCTCTTCTAGTAGCTGTGATTTATTTCAGCCCTCTGTTCCTGAGAAAGAGGAACTTCTGCTCTGTGCCAGAGCATATGCTCATAGTCAACCCTAGTGACGCTCTGTAAGCGTGCATGACGTGCAGTAAGAGTAGTTAAACAGTGGGAATTGATATTTTCTATTTGCATATTTTCTTTTCCATATATGTAGCCCATATAGTGCAAGAAAACGGTGATAGCTCCATTTGTCTTGTGTTCATAACGTTCTCTTTGGTAGCTGGCCAGAAGAGCCTGGGGTTGGTATCAGCTGCTACTGTGGTGGTGTTGAAGCCTCCCAGAGAGGAGGTGGGGGGCTGTATTGATGCTCTGTATATTCATTAATGATCCGGTGTTGCTGGGGGTCAGTTTGTGTGTATAGCCCAGCAAGACTACTGGAGGATTCTGAACCATGTGGAAAAAAACACCCATAAAGTGGAGGAGGAAGGAGAAATTGTTATGGTGAAGGAACACAGGGAGCTGGATCGCAGCGGCACCAGGAAAGGGCACATAGTTATCAAGGTGATTTTCTTTCTTTGTTTAATTTTCCGTTCAGCTATTAAGCCTTTACTTGTTAATTAAAAAGCTAAATAAAATTTTGGGCTGAGCCTGGAACACGTGTTCAGCTCTGTCAGTCTTAGCATAATAGATTTGATTGGAAGGAATTTATATTACTATATAAATAAAGATTTATCATCCATTTAATACAGCAGGATCTGTTCAGCACATGTATTTAGGTTTTGCTTAGGGAGCACCTCATGCACCTCCTTAATCTGAAAAGGAATTTAACCATTTAATTAAAATTACGGAACACTTAATTTTTCTAGCCAGGTATTACCCATGTACAACATATGGCATAGARGGGATAGAAAGTTAAAAATCTTAAAAATCTTAAAAGTGTTTTTCTTTCTGAATTTACCATAACTGGAACTTGAAAAGAGACTATGCTGTTCATGATTTAGTGCTTGTATTTTAGCAATTCTTATTCTGTAGTAGGAAATGTCAATCACTACTTGCATTAATTTTTTAAGGCGACTCCTGAGCGGCTCATCATGCATTTAATAGAAGAGCATTCCATTGTGGATCCCACCTACATAGAGGATTTCCTCTTAACATACAGAACTTTTCTAACAAGCCCCTTAGAAGTTGGGAATAAGCTGCTGGAGTGGTTCAAAGTGGACAGCCTCAGGGATAAGGTTTGTTGCAAACTAAGAGATCAGTAGTTTGTAGTGACAATGTGTGTATGTGTATATATATTTATATAAAGTAAAATTATACTGCAGCTATTTTGATATATTTTAAAGCACAGTATTTTTCTGTAGTACGAAGAAATGTTCCTTCATGTTGTTGTATGCATATAGTGAATTGTTCAAAATTATGTCAAAATTATGTTCAAAATTATGTCAAAATTTTTGTTTGTTTGTTTTGGTATTTAGTTTTGAAATGCAAATGTCTTTCTCTGAACTCCTTTTTTTTTGCCAGAAAGTTAGGGGAATTAAGTAGCTGTGACTTCTTGGGCATTTCGGCTTTGTTCTCACAGCAGCATGGTGTTGGTCATGCATAATTTTCTTTTTTTGAAAAGCTGGGGCTTTTCACTGCATTGAGCCCGCTTTATTTGGGCTTCTTCTCGCAAACTGAAGTAAACTGTGCTTGAGGCAGGTGCAATTGATTTAAAAAAAAAAAAAAAAACCTCCTTTAAGCAGGACCAAGTTCAGCTCTGTGCGAATATATGCATACACAAGGGAAGTTTCCATGGTTTGGAACTTCCCCCACATAAAAACTGGTAAGAAATATGACAGTAAAACTGTTAGCCAGCAGTTTTATATGTCCTAGCTTTGAGCTGAAGGAAACTCAGTGGACTGTCGTAACASTTAATGCACTGAAAATTGTCTGGGACCTTATAGTTACTGCTCCTCTTATTCTTATTTAAGAATATTCTCTTACTTAAGCATCTACTGCTTTTTTCTAATATTCTAATTTCTTGTATTCTTAAGTTAGAAAAGACAGTGTAGTTCCAGGTAAAACATTTTGCTTAAATTCTAGATGATTTAAATGAATAATTTACCAGTAGGGAAATCTAGGAACTGAAGTGCTTTGGAGGCATTTTCTATCTTTGCATCAAATTGGCTATTTAGCACTGTTTTTTTTACCAGCTTAGCTATGAGACACCTTGATTTCCACCCAGGTAATTAGTGGTATATTGGGTAATATTTTTAACAAGTTGAAGTTCAGCACTTTGTATGCAGGGAAGAAGGGGAAGGAAAAAAAAATCTGTCTTGGCAAATAAAACTGGAAGTTATTTTTAGAAGAGAGAAACTGCCATAGATAAGCATTTTTGTATAACATGGATGGATAGAGTAGCTGGCAGACTGCCTCTATTATGAATGGTAAAGTAATTCTGCAGCACGTATGAAGGCAGCCAGAAAATTTAACTGGCTTACAAGATAATTTTTTATTATCACAATATATTTCCTAGAAGTTTCCTGAAGTCTGTATGCCTCAGACCTTTGAGACACTTCAAAAAAGATGCATTTAAGTGACATGAAGGAAAGGATAATTGGTGATAGATTTGTGTACCTGGAGGCACCAGGTGATACCACCAATTTCTTGTTGCTACTATTGTGTTTTTGTRATTTATTAAACTGCAATTACAGTGAAAGCCAAAAGTCTATTTCAGATATAAATGACTRTTAAATTTGAAAGGCTTAATCTAGAAAAAGAACAGAATGATGATTATTGCCCATTGAACAGATTCATGTATCGCAAACATTTTGTCCTATTCTTATATTCTTATTTACTTATAGATTAAAACATAAAGAAGAAGAAACACAGATATCTTTATATAAATCTTTTTTCACAGGTTACCAGAGTGGTATTACTGTGGGTGAACAACCATTTTAATGACTTTGAAGGCGATCCTGCTATGACCCGATTTCTGGAAGAATTTGAAAAAAACTTAGAAAATACGGTGAGACCCTAAAAGACCAACTGGCTTTGTGCTGCCAGGCATTTTTACTTATAACTTGTGTGTTACMAGGAAATAAAATATTGTAGTGTCTAAGAAAGCCATTTACAGGTGACTTCTTACATGGTTATRTTTGTTTTTAAATACACACTTGAATACAAAGCCCAGGTAAAGTGGCACATGTGGCCCTCATTGACGTGTCTTGGTATTACTGYGGAAGGGGTAAGGTTTATTTAGTAGGATTTACAGAATCACAGAATTTAGACACACATTAAAATACTTGGGATCGTAAGTTCTTTTTCTATCCCCCTTTCTTCCTCTCGCCTGTTTTTCCATTTCTAGTAAAATGAACATTACMTTCATTTTGTGTGTCTTCTGGGTTACAGAAGATGAAAGGACATCTCAGACTGCTGAATATTGCTTGTGCTGCCAAAGCGAAATGGAGACAAATTACCCTGCAGAAACCTTCCAGAGACTCACCACTCTTCTTCAGCCTCCTCGGAGGAAGTGATAAAGGTTTTGGTATCTTTGTAGAGACTGTGGAAGCGGGCAGTAAAGCAGCAGAAGCTGGACTTAAGCGTGGTGATCAGGTAAAAAGAAAATATATTGAACTCTTACTTTAATAAAAAAAAAATTCTTAACAAGCTTTGGTTAATTTAGGAAACGTTCTTGAAGGAGGTTTAGTTAGTTGAAGTTGTTAAACTGTTCTGTGTATTTGCTTAGTAGAGGCACTGACTCTCATCTCGCAGTTTGCTGATGCTGGGGGCAGTGACAGTTCACACCAGCTGAGGATCTGGCCTTTGATTCTAGTGTCAGTTCTACAGCTCCTGGTGCAGTCCAGTTTTGTTTAAGGTGCACTTCCTAATTGCAAGAATGTCAAGCTATCACGTGATAAATTTGGCTAAAAAAATTGACAGGTAGAAATGCAGTTCTTCACGTACTTAAAGGTTATATAACTTCGTAGAAGTGATTAAAACATTCATTTTGCAAGGAATGCTTTCATGCTGCAGGTCTTATAAAGGTGATCCAGTTTCTGGAARTGTTCCTTCTTGTGCCTGTACTATCACATTAGTATTTGTAAGTCTATCATAAATAGTTGTCCTCCTAATAGTTCCATTTTTATTTCTTCTAAAAGATAATGGAAGTAAATGGACAGAATTTTGAGAACATCACATTTGCAAAAGCTCTGGAAATCCTAAGGAACAATACACATCTCTCCATTACTGTCAAAACAAACATTTTTGGTGAGTGAACTTTATTATATGTATGTATATATATGATTTTGTGTGTATGAAGTTGAAGAGAAGTACCCAGGCTTTCTAACCGTGGCCCAGGGATACCAGCTTCCTTTCGACTATTCTAGGAGGAAAAAATTGCACCCAGGTGCCCTAGTGGAGCCTCCTTGTGCTGGATCTACCCGTGCGTGCCAAGGAGGACACRCGGGGTGGCCCCACGCCAGCACAGACAGTGCCCTGCTCCCCACARACCCTCCCAGGGCTGTTCAGGCAGCTTTGCTGTCCCCTCTTGCGATGGGGCTGAAACGGAGCCAAGGGATGGGGGCCAAAATCTTTTGCCAAGAAACAGCGAAAATGTAAAATCTGGCTTGCGTAGAACTTTTTATAATGGCTGTGAGAATGATAGGAGAAATTGCCTTTAGGTCTGAAATAGAAAATGGGATATAAAAAGTGGTATGATGTATAAATGTTGGCTTTTAATTGTCAATGTGAATATAAACACATAAATACCTCTTTAAAATCTCAGTCAAACCATCTGCTCTTTTTCCATAATCCTGTTGAGGCAGGAAAACAACCATAGCTACAGAAAGAACAAGGCTCTGTCTGCAAGACAGATTCTTTCTTTCTGCCTGTATCTGAGACCTTCTGATGGYCACGCATTTAGCCTCTTCTTCCAGTTACCTGCCCTTGTTCCCTGTTGACTTTTCTTTATTTAGCTCCAATTTTCTGCTTTTTGCTAGGTGAAGATGAGCTGTTTCAAGATCTCTGCAGTTGTTTATTATAACAACCTAATATCCTAATTTCAAATGAATATGAAATAGTGTTAATCTGTGATCTAGACTAGTATGAAATAACATAAGTCAAAGCTATAACTGAGACAGTGATAGTTTGCACGTTTTGCTTAATATAAGCAATGTGCTTTTATGAGTGGATTGTGAGCTCTCTTCCTGCTCACTGTTATAATTTCAAGATGATTTCTCAGATGGATCATAAAGAATTCGCTCTGAGTTTTTTTCAACAGCAGTATTTACTATTATGTCTTTTAACTGACTGCTGAGTACCTCATGTTGGCAGTGAACAGTCCCTGTTCTTATATTTGAATTTGTGCTGAGAAAGATCTTAATCTAGAAAGAAACTCAAATAACATAAATATTACTTTTAATAAATACATTAAGCTGATTGATGTGAATGTAATACCGACTGCATTGAGTGAGCATAGCTTTACTGAATTTGCTGTAAAATTTATTAATTTTGAAAGTAGCTGGAAGAGCCCAACTATGTAGAACGTTTATTTTCATTGAACATGTAGAGTTTTTGCCTGTGAACCTAATAGCACAACCCTTGCGTGGGAAAAGACTCCTACCCATAAAATCTAAATTAAAACATAACATGCTGGCTAGTTTGCATCTTGCTGGCTTCTTTTTTTCTGGAGGTGTATGGGAAACAAAGAGTTGGGAAGAGGAAAGTGCTGTGTAAGTTTTGACAGTGTGAAGGGAAATCACTGTGTTTGCATCTTCTCTTACAGTGTTCAAAGAGCTGCTTTGCAGGATAGGACAAGAAAAGAACGGCATCCCCCATATTCCCAAAATTGCAGAGAAGAAAAACAACCGTTACTCCATCCCAGATATGCCTGGAGATGTGGAGCAGATGTTTCCACGTGAAAAAGCAAACAAGAAAATCAAAGCTAACACTGTATCTGGTGGGAGAAACAGAATCAGGAAAATTTTAGACAAGACACGCTTCAGCATCTTGCCTCCAAAACTGTTCAGGTATGTCAGACTCTCCTGGCAAAACAGTAATTCTTTTCCTTTTAAACTGCTACATTGCTGCTTAGTATCTTCACACCAAGGTATTTTTTTTCCTCCCAGTGAACRCTTTCAAATCTGCTTTTCTCTGCCCATGCTCTTAAAGCCTGGCTCCAATGTGCAATTAAACCACCCCAGCGCTGTTGTGTTTCCCCCTTTCCCTCGTGCTGGGGTGCTCGTGAGGAGCTGGCTGCACATGACACATTGTGGCCTGTTTTGCAGCGACGGCAGCGTGAGCCAGTCGCAGGACGACAGCATCGTGGGCACGCGCCAGTGCCGGCACAGCCTGGCCATCATGCCCATTCCTGGCACGCTCTCGTCCAGCAGCCCGGACCTGCTGCAGCCTACAACGAGCATTCTGGATTTCTCTAACCCTTCAGGTAAAACTGCACCGCGAGCTTGATTTATATGATAACTCTAATTAAGAGGCAGCTGCTTGAGGAGGGAAGTTGCATTTTTTACCAGCTGCAAACATGCTGAATGTAGTTATGTATTTATCCCAAATGTATTTATCCCATGACCTTAAAAGCTCCAAACTTGGAGACTTACTAAAAGCATAAACTGCCCAAAATTTCACCTGCTATTTTGGCCTCTTTCTGTAATCTCACAAAGAAAAGAAACCTGCCACCGAAAGTGGCTTTTGATCACTGGAGTTTACCAGAGCTCCAGTGGAAGAGGGTTGCCCTTGTCTGCCCCTTTCTCTCTGTATCATCCCATCCCAAAACCGGYTCTGCTGAGGACTTGATTTGTCCACCCATCATCTTTAAATTTATATTTCAAGCAGCATTGTGGGTATCATAGGACCACTGTGGCTACCAAGGTACCAACGTTAACGCCGCCTGTATTACAAGCATTAGGCTTCTTCGTTGTATTTCTGTAAAGAAATAACTTTTTAGATTTATGGTCTTGTTTTTCCATTGCTGCTACTGTAGGAAGAACATTAATGGAGTGGCTGCAGGAGGTATTAGTTATATGCAGCTGCCTGTAAACATGTCAAGTCAGAATCATGTTTCTCTGTTGCAAGTTGTGTGCATAATTATATATTCTGTAAACTGCCTTGTGGCTAAGACTTAYCCTTATGTAAACTTGCATATTTTCCCCAAAAAGGGATGTGCACAAATATATCCTGTTTGATTCATAAATATTCATGACAAATGAATTCCTTTTTTTGCTGCAAATATGTTTTCTTGTTGTTTGTATGAGAGCTACACACATGGTCTCTAAGAATCTTCCCTGAAAATTTCTGCAGTTTGCTGCATAATTTTGAGCTATGAATAATTAGTCTTTTTTACCTCTACTCTATTAAGTTCACTGTAACAAATATGCATCTTTTTGGCATATTTGGCATGTCAAAAATTTTTGACAGTGTATTGCATACTCTTGTTAAGTTTTATAAATACCTAAATCTGGATTTAGTGTTGACACCAATTTTTTCCTTTTTTTTTTTTCCCCCTGCCTGCAGCTGTTGGGTTTTACTGTAAGTATCTTGATGTATAGCATCTTGGAAACCTTAATATTGCATGTCTTGCCTGTTAAACCTAACACATTTTTGTACACTTTATTGACACAGTTGTTACTGTTTGGCATTACAAAGTGAGTGCCCTGTAAACATTCCCTTAAAATACATCCGTGGGCTTCCTTGTGGCTGCTCTGATCTCATGACAGTGCTGCACTGAGGTCCAGGCTGTTGACGTGCTGAATATTCTTTGGAAAGTTACTTTAGTACTCAGCTCCCTTCAAGGGAATGAAATTACTTATATCCCATTTATAGAAACTGATGTTTTTGATGGCAAGAGTTGGAGGTTTAGTTTGCTCTTCTGTTGGACTGTGCGTAACTTAAATTTTGTGCATGCTGYCTGGAAATGTCCACCTCGGCTTTGCAGCCACACACCAAATGATGACTAGGGAAGTAATTTTTATTCATATTTACATGCTTAAAACAGAAATACCATAAATGCAGTTGTGTACTGGTAACATTTTCTATCATCTGTCACTCAGAAGTTGCAGTAAATTTTGTTTGCGAAGCGACATTTCACATACATTTGAATCGCACCCRGTAGTATTTTTGCCAGTACAGGCACCCTGGTGTGCAGACGAGCGGGGAGCTGGTCTAGCAGCAGGGCTGGCTCCACCTGGGGAAGATGGGGACCTTGCTGTCCTGTCCCCAAGGCTCCATGTGTCCTGCACAGTCTGTGGGCAGCCTGGAAKGGAAGCTCTGTTCCTCCACGCATGGATGTGGTGCTTCTCATCACCGATATTCAAGCTCCATCTAGTAACAGCAGGAGGGGCTGTTATCCCAGCGAGGCCTTGGAGATGGAAGTGGGCAGCTCTGATGCAGGAATGAAGGGCACATTGGCCTCGGAGACAGGATTTGGAGGAGCTTTAGGCTCTGGGGCTGTTAGGATGGAGGCTCCATGAGAGYTGCCGTCCAACATCGCTCCTCTATGTGGCCTTCCCGGCCTGCCCGGGCTTGGTCTTCAGGCATCAAGGAGGGGGGATAAACAAACAAAGAAAATCCACTGCGTTCCCTTGAATTTAATTAACAGGGTGCTTTTGACCTTGTTTTTTTTCCAGTCAACGTCGCTTTGAAAGTCGAGCATTATATAATAGGAACAAAGTGAATTATCGCAAGCATCAAGCCGTAAAGTAAACACGTTTGATGCATGAGATAATATATTTATATTATCTGCTCTAATCTGCCTCAGATAAAGCTGTTTTCTGAGTAAATCCGTATTTTTCTACATGAAATGCGTTATAAATGAGCACTCTAGCAAGAGCTGTGTGCTGGCAGCAKCTCGGCCCCTTGGGTTAGGGAGGCCGGTGGTGGGGATGGCAGGTGGGTTGGTGCAGGGCAGACCACGCAGTGCCACCACGCGGGGACACGGAGGAGCGGCCTGGCCCCTCGGATCCCTCAGCAGGCAAACRTGCTTCCAAAAATTCCGAGAGGCGCCAAAAATGTGCGGAATAATCATGTGATGGTGTCCTGGTGACATGCCTGTAACATGAATGCCTTTGCTTTCATCACGGCCATGGTGTAATACGCAGGTGAGCTCTGTGTGAAAGCACGGAGAGAAGAAAAGAATCTTGTTTCATTTGCAGCCGAGGGAAAAGACTGGGTATTTTAATGAATATTTATAGGCGTTTATCAAGTCCAGCATGGTTTTTTTTTTTTTTTTTTTTTTTTGTCTTGCTTGCTGGTTTTTGTTTTCTGGCTGTCAGGCAATGCAGTAAATGACCTTGTGCGTTTTCAGGGAAAAGCAACTTTGTACTTTAAAGACATTCGTCTGTTGTTTTAGATATTCCGGATCAAGTAATCCGAGTTTTCAAAGCGGACCAGCAGAGCTGCTACATTATCATCAGCAAGGACACTACAGCCAAGGAGGTGGTGAGCCACGCGGTGCACGAGTTCAACCTGACGGGAGCCCCGGACACCTACTCGCTCTGCGAGGTCTCCGTGAGCCCCGAGGGGGTCATCAAGCAACGGAGGCTTCCCGACCAGTTCTCCAAGCTTGCAGACAGGATTCAGCTCAACGGGCGGTAAATGCACCCTGATTTTAAGCGCGTTTTGCATTTATTTGACTCGGCCTTTTAGGATTGAAACATAAGCATGGGGGAGCGATTCCTTCTAAATTAAGATAGGAGCAAAACRCTTGGATATGCTTCTGGAGGCTGGCTGAAGGGGCTGGAGCAACACCTGACTTCTCCTAAATGCCTGTAGCTGTGAAAACATCCATCTATTGAGCCACGAATTAGCAAGGGAGCCTTCCCAGAGCACAGCAATCCTTACAGTGCGTTTGTGGGAGGCTCTTAAATAGCTGCATTCCTCCCTGGGAACACAAATGGGAGTTTCCTGACAGATGCATTTGCTGGGAATTCCAGGGTTACACACAGCTCCGGAGAGGGAGCGAGGACAACTGGCTGTTAGAAAAATAGGCAAATAAATCCAGTGATTCATTTCTCACTCTTTTCTATTTCCCTTCCACTGTAAAATAAACTTCCCCAAACCTACCCCAAGCTCACTTAATGACAATGAAATTCAGCAGATCAGCATAATGTATGTAGTAGCTTGCTCTTGGAAATATTTTTTTTCTGACAGTTTCCATATGTACTTTGTGATTAAAAGATACAAGTAATTTCTTTCTCTGTGATACAGTATTGTAGTGAACTGATACTAACCTGAGATAAATTCTTTTCTTTTTATGTGAGCTGCTACAAATGTTTTCTGAAAACTGAAGTGCTTCCATTTTATCTGATGACCTGATACATGCTGGAAGGGCTTATTAAGTAAAAAATTCTTTAGTTCTCTTTTCTAGGCAACAAAGAGAATTTGAGAGGAATAGACTTTGCTGTATTTAAGTGATCTGCTTTAGACCATGAAAATGAATTTTCCAGATACCTTTTCATTTGCTGAATATTGTGTATTTCATATATATATTAATATGCCACACTAAATTTATATGAGAAACGGAGAAATACATTAACGACAGATTTCAAACATTTCTCAAAGCTAATGCATGCTTAAAATGGTCTTTCACTGCTGAAGTAACAAAAGGATAAGTAACTGACCTTTCTCTGAAGGTGAAAGCTACTGCGTGTTAGAGTACTGAATAGAAAATAGTATTAACAGAGAGGCAGAAAAGATCAAAATGGCTTTGAAATGATGGAAAAGTGTTTTTCCTTAGATAGCGATGGCATTTTATGCTAAAGTACAGGGTTATGCTGTCTGTTCTTATGTCTGTTGTTGCCCCTCGCTCCATGTTGTCACCCAGAAGAGCTCTTGTGTATGAACCTTGATGGTGCCAAAAGCAACCAAGTTCCCTGGTGTCATTAAATGTGGGTGTGCTCTGCAGCCCTCAGAACTCTGTCCCTAATGTCTTGTTAYGATGCAATTGATCTTTAGGTATTACCTGAAAAACAACATGGAGACGGAGACGCTCTGCTCSGATGAGGATGCTCAGGAGTTGCTGAGAGAGAGCCAAATTTCCCTCCTGCAGCTCAGCACCATTGAGGTTGCCACGCAGCTTTCCATGAGGGACTTTGAACTGTTTCGGAATATTGAGCCCACGGAGTACATTGATGACCTTTATAAGCTGGACTCCAAAACAGGAAACGCTCGCCTAAAACAGTTTGAGGATGTCATAAATCAAGAGACCTTCTGGGTTGCCATGGAAATTTTAGCAGAGCCCAACCAACTCAAGAGAATGAAGATTATTAAGCATTTCATTAAAATTGCCCTCCACTGTCGAGAATGCAAGAATTTCAATTCCATGTTTGCGGTTATCAGGTGAAGTATTTCCCGATAMTTTTGTTTTTCTGCCCTTTGTACAAAATAGCTCATTGGTCTTCCCAGAGATGCTCAAAGAAAGCCAGTTTTCCTTAACTGTAAGAAAGGCAATTGTAAACAGCCATGCAAAATCAACCTGAAAGTGTGTGTTAGCCATTGTGAATCCAGGAAGATTTTCGGGAAGCAGATCTGACCTTGCTTTTATTAGCACATGCTGCAGGGTAGAATGCCCTTTGCAGCTACAGAAACTTTACAATCCTTGCAAACCTCACCGAGCTGACTCGGTGAAAAATTATGATAGGGAGGCTGGATATATTCAGTTAGATTTCTAATTTATATCCAGYTAAATCTAGGTATATTTTTACATTTTGAGTGTCTTAATGAGAATGATGATACAATAATAAATTTTTGGCATATCTATTACTTTAATTTTCAGTCTGCCGATACTTGTTTACAAATACTATGTTTGCTCTTAAGTCTTTTCACTTCTGTTTGTGATCTACTGTTTACTCTTCTCACTTGCTGCTCTAATTATATAAATTAACTCATTAATTTTTCATTGCTTTTCTCCTTAGCTTGGTATAGATTTTTATGGGAATGAACTGGGACAAAAGTTAGGTGGGCAGCAGCACTGTGCTGCAGGCAGATGGCACTGGCAGGTTAACTTGCAGTTTGAGCTGGGAAGCAGCCCTGCTCTCTAGGCTCTCGTTTCTGCTTGCTCATGAGAGTGGGCAGAGTGGTGTATCGTGATGAGCTTGCTTGCAGTCTGGCATTGCCCTAGCCTTGAGCTTAACCTTGTGAAAACTATTTTTAATCTTTAAAAACACTAAWTAACTCTTCCCCGCTTTCTGAAATGCAGGGATCCCTTCAACAGCTACTAATGAAATATATCTGTTTTGCAGCGGGTTAAATCTAGCACCAGTAGCACGTCTCAGGGGTACGTGGGAAAAGCTACCAAGCAAGTATGAAAAGCACCTCAGAGACCTTCAAGATCTTTTTGATCCATCTAGAAACATGGCAAAATACCGCAACATCCTCAGCAGTCAGAGCATGCAGCCTCCAATTATTCCCCTCTTCCCTGTTGTCAAGAAGGATATTACATTTCTACACGAAGGTAATGTCGAGCACGGAGAAATAATAAACCAAGCACTGAGTCTGTTTAGGGCCTTGCTTTAGCACTCTGTGATCCAGCAAGTGACTAAAGGGAAGCTGCCACCAGGGTGGTGCGTTTGCTATGTCTTTTGTAGGAGTAAAAAGAAAGATAATCCTGAATGTGTAACAGAAGAGACTGATCCTAGACAAAAATAAAAATTTTTAAAAAGGTGCATATTTTAAATTATTTACAAGCAGTGTTTAAATTCCATCAAAGATATGGATGGTAGAAAAGTGAGTGCGCAAACTAGAGCTTAGACTGCTTCAAATACATTTCTGTTGCAAAATCTTGAAGCCACAGTGTTTCTAAGCTTAGTTCTATGTTGTGGCTTTCAGAGAGCTACAATGATCTAACACCTCCTACTCCTGCTTTCAGCATTTTCTTTTTAAAAAAAAAGCTTGATTTTTTTTTTTCTTTTACACAAAGTCATGCTCACAATTGGTTAAAGTTATGTTTTTCTAAGTATGACAAATTCTTGGCTATGATATTTCAAAGCCTTGAACTAACTTCAGATTATGACTGCTATTGATACCAGTTCTATATTTATCCTTAAAATCCATGGCAATGAATTTGGGCAGAATTCCCTTACTTCTTCCCCTTGCTAGATGAGCAGGGGAAAGCTGTAGAGGTGAGTGGGCCCGGCTGGTATCTGTATTTTGTCATGATGCCATTTGCTCATTTACTCCTGTTTTAATTAAAACAGCCTTGGGAGTGTCAGTGAGTAGCAGGGAAGCTATTGTGGGGGACTAGTAACATTAGTTAAAAAAAAAAAAATGTTTTTTTCTTATTTCTTTTTGGTACATGTTTAAATTCTGCAGGAAACGATTCCAAGGTGGATGGCCTGGTGAACTTTGAGAAGCTGCGGATGATCGCCAAGGAGATCCGCCAGGTGGTGAGGATGACCTCGGCGAACATGGACCCGGCCGTGATGTTCAGGCAAAGGTGCGCGAGGGCAGAGCCCCGGCAGCCACGGGGGCTCTCGTGGGTGGCGACCTGCCCGTGTGTGTGTGCGTAAACACATCAGTATTTCACCGTGTGATCTAGTGTTAATGTTGAGCAGCAGAATGGAAGTCGTTATCAAATTACAGAAATACCGTCAGTGCTTCTAAAATTTGCTTTTAATGACCACTAAASCAATTTGCTGGTTTAAAAAGCAAAGGAAAACAGGCTTTAGCTTTAACACTTTGTATTTTTGCTAAATAAAACAKCAGTGTCAGAGTTTCAGGAGAGATGTAAGGGCTAGAGGGACATCATACRTAAAGATCTTTAAACCACCCATGTATCAATCAGGAGTGTTGCTATTAAAGCAATCTCTGGCAACACGAAAGAGAGTCACAAGAATATTTTTGTTTTTATCTTGCTTCGTGTCCAGCACAACTCAGTGCAGCGGCTTTGTGGGCCCGSGGGGCTGCGGCTGCAATACGAGCACGGGCTCCTGCACCGTGTGTGCCGAGGCCGGAGCCCCTAGATCCCCGTGGCAGGTTGGTGCAGTCGGGGCGAGCTCGGCACGAGCCCCCGGGCAGCCTCTGTGCCCCCTGCAATGGGCAGCTGGTGCCGGAGGCCTTGGCCTCTGTCCTGCTCTGCGTCACCGCAAAGCCCCAGTCAGAAATGACAGAGCCCTGCTCCTCCTGTAAAGCCCATYCGCAGCTTTCAAAGTGAGATACTGTTGTATTTGACCTGGCAAATTCCCTGTTTAATATAAAAAGATAAAGCTAATTATTTGATAATTCGAGTAAGTTAGTTAAGTCCTAACTGCTTTACAGAAATGGTGGCATTATCAGATGAAATCTTTCTGTAAATACATCTCCCAGATACCCTTTACCGTTATAGACCCAATGAGCTCCAGTCATTAAAGGAACTGAAAGCTGAATAAATAGCTTACCTTTAGTATGTTTTTCAGAATTACAGCACACATTTTAATGGCCTGAAGCGTACGTGCTGACGTAAAATACTTAGCTAATATTAGCAATAGTGCCAAAGATTAAAAGAAAATCATTCTGTGTTTTCACATCATTTATATTCATTTTCATTGCCTCTGGTGTTTGATCTATCAGTTTGTGTGTGACAAGCTACCAATAAAATCTTTTTTGAAGAAGACTAAAAATGAACAAGAAAAGAGGTTTTAGTGGCAACATGAGCCTTGCTAGCAAGTTCATTACTAATTAATATAGGGCATCTAGCTTTTCAGTGTATTTTTAGCAAACGGCTTGTTTTCCAGCAAGCAATCAAGAGGGGAAAAAAAGATCATAAACTTGAATACTGATGATGATTTCTCAGATATGTTCTGTGACTTAATGCATAGAATAAATTACTTTAATTATATCTTCTGCAATATGAAGAAGTTAAACTTTCACTCTGCCAAGTCAAATCTGACTTATGCAAAATAAYTAACAAGAAAATTAAAAATTGTTTTGGTTTGTAAATGTATAGGTTGAACTTGAGAAATGAAGGAAAAAAAAAAACTGATAGATTTTCTCCATGTCCAAGTTCTGTAGCGAGTCCTGCCCTTGCATTCCATTAAAGCACCGTGTTGTTGTTTGAGAAGAATTTTGCTGTATAGAAAATTTTCTTTTCTGTTCTTTCCTGTCTACATCTTTCTTCCTGACTCTCAACTGTTTTATTTTTTCCTGTGCTTTTCTGTTCAAATACATGCTTCAATGTATATGGCTCTTGCTTACAGGAAGAAGAGGTGGAGAAGTTTGGGGTAAGTGTAGAGATGAATGCAACTAAGATAAATAAAGATTATGCAACTCTTAACATACTGCATCCTCCTTTTTAGTGCATGCACCTGAAATACAGCATGCATTTTATTAACCCTGCAATACATATTTTTTTGAAAAACAGGAGTAAGTGGTTTCAGTCAACTTCATACTGCAGCTGTACAGATTTTTGAGTTGCTTTTCTGTGTTAGATAAGTTGCTTACATTTTGGCTTCATTAAAATAAACTGTTTTATTGGAAGACAGACCATTTCTGGAAACAAATAATTTCCTTTCCGATGTGTGTCTGAAAAGTTTAAGCCAGGATGCGTACACCAAACTCCTCAGCAATTTCCTGGGATTTTAATTGCACAAGAGCTGAGGACCAGAATGACCACAAATGAGCGCGAGAGGATGGGCTAATGCAGCTGCTCACGAAAATACTTTGCAATGGCAGTGATTAGCTGACAGTGAAGCCATATTTAATATGTTTTTGTGTATTTAATACACATATTGCCTATTTAATACACATATTTAATGTGTATTTGGGGTTTTGCCCAATGACAGCCCAGCCACCTTTGCACTTCCAGACTCAGCTTGTTTGGGTGCTGTGCACGTGTGGTGAAAGGCAGCCCAGCTCAGTGTGTGGGCAGTGTCAGTCCAGAGCAATACCCTGTTCCCTTATAAACTAGATATTAGCGTTGTGCTTGTCCATAGCACATACAAGGACCCTCCTGTTCGAGAGCTGTCCATACCGCCATGTGCTACTCTTTACCTGTAACAGCATTCGTGTTTATTTTTAAGCTATGCAATTCTGCACTAAGTGTCTTTCCTTTTTTCCTTTTTTTGACTTTATTTAAGCTTTGTAAATATGTCAGGTAGCTCTTTTCCACTCTTTAGTTCTAATACTTGACATTGATAAATATTTTTATGCAGAATTTAGCTTCTTAAAACTGATTCCTTTGAATGCTTACAAAAAGCTTGAAATAATAGTTTTCCTGATTCTTTTCCATCAGATTTTACTTACAAATTTAATTTATCAAACAAATAAATATGGGTTAGAAGCAGTACATCTGTCGTGACTTGACAGTCAAAATGGAAGAGATGGGTATATTTGAGCTATATCAAGACCAGCCCTTTGGGCACTGAGGACTAAAATGAGGAAAAATAAAAATGACTGCTGCATAGCAATTAATATAAGTAAAACAAATTGATTTACCTGGTTTTGGTTCAGTTGCAATAGAGCTGGCAGCGTAAAATGAGAGCATTCAGAAGTGTTGGTCGTGTTCTTTCATGGGTACAAGCCTGTTCAAATCTGAACATAYGTAACATACGTTGTCACTGTCTCCATGACCTGTGTTTGGGATGCTTCATGAGCAATTAATCTCTTGTACATGTTTTTAGTTAACTGGAGAAAGGAATTAAGTGCATAATAACACTTTGCATATGTAAGATAGGCTTTTCTCTTGCTTGACTGTTAGGAGAAGTTCAATGTGCCAAGAGGGTGATGCTGGTTGCTCTCTTCTGTGGTCAGTGGAACCGCAAGAAGTKCTGCTCTGACCCACGTGGTGGGTCACAAATTGCTTAAACTGAGAGGCCCAAAGTGAGCGAACAGGTCTGCAATTGCAGTCTGCAGTGGGCATAATAGTGTGGGTTTGCACAGGGAGATGAACGTTCATTAGCAGAGCTAGATGGGGGCAGTTACGTAGCTCTGTGCCTCGTTCTTGCTACTTCTACACTTTCATGAGCAATTCTTGGCCTTGACTCAAAATACTGCTATCAGTTTTACCAGAATATTTTAAAACAAATCTTGTTTTAATGCTGTTCATCTTCTTAACTCATTTGCATCAGCATGTACTAGCCCTAACTGAAGAGTTTTGGTATTAATCTGCTACAGCATATGCTACTTGTGCTCCTCATTGCTGATGAGAACCGAAAATCAACTTATCTGCTCTTTTCTTTTATAGGTCCCTGAGCCAGGGCAGTACAAACTCCAACATGCTCGACGTCCAGGGAGGTGCCCACAAGAAACGGGCCCGACGCAGCTCGCTCCTCAACGCCAAGAAGCTCTACGAGGATGCCCAGATGGCCAGGAAGGTGAAGCAGTACTTGTCCAACCTCAATGTAGAAACGGATGAGGAAAAGATCCAAATCCTGTCGCTTCAGTGTGAGCCTGCATATAGCACTTGTGAGTACAGCGGGCTCTTAGGGTGGCCTGATCTACATACTTCATGAAAGTCCTTCCCTTGAAATATGTATTTAATTAAGGTCTTCCTCTTCTCCAGCACAAATTACGTTAAAAAGAAGCTTATTTGTCAATTCATGTACTAACAGACTAAGTAATACAGTTTCAGTAGGCCAGCATTACTCCTCTGATCTTGACTGAGCTCACAAAACTTTGGACTGAGAGTTGGGATTTTTTCTTTTTTTTGACCTTTAGTTCTTAAACTGTGTGTCTTTTCATCAGTCTGCAAGGAAATTCAATAGTACATTAGATCTATTCTTGCCCCTCTGTCCTTGTACGGAATTAGGAAGGATAAAAGTAACGTTTACCATATGAACAGCAAGAAAATGAAAAGAGACAAAATCAATATAGAAAGTGGAGTTCAGCTTAGAATAAAAGAYGGATGAGAAGGAGAAAGTCAGGCCAGCTCTGACAGATGGGATTGATGTCGCTTGGCAGCCAAAAATTGAGGGCTGCAACAGGACACTTTTTCATAAATTGAGCTCCTGTAAAGCTGTCTGCCTAAACACCATCCCATGAGCTGTGTCTTCTGTCTCGAACAGTTCAGTAAATTCCTACTTAAAAATAAAAAAATGCAGTTGCATATGATTTTTATAATGAGAAATTTTGAAGTGTTTGAAAGTTAGTTAGGACTGTTTCAAAAGAGAGAAGTAATARTCTTGCTAGGAAAATAGCATTTCTTGCTTTTCTCGTGTCCAAATGCAGCATGCTACATTTTCTTCATTATTCCTTTTCTCAAAGAGCATTTTTATCCATTAAGGACATGAAATAAAAGGCCAAGGAGGAGGTGACAATTTGAAGATAAAATTTTAAGACTGTGAATTTCATATTATTATTTTTTTTTTAATATGGTATAATGTTAAATTTTTTTTTTTCAAGACTTTGCTTTTAGAAGCATGGAGCGTGTAACTGATGTGATTGATCAGCTTAGCTGAAGTGAGAGCTCTGGGTTTGCTGGAAGTAGGAGCTTCTTATCTCAGTACCAAGATTATCCTAATTTTGCTTGAAGACCAAGCAACAGATATTCAGGAATCCAGGTATTTCCGCAATAATTTTAGGAGAAGTTGGATGGCCTCAGCTCTACAAACAGTTTATTAATTGCTCTGTAAGTGAGGCAGAAATTCAGAAGGGTCCTGCTGCAAGTCAATTGTGCCATCTAGTGAAAGGCTTGCCAGCTGCAAAGCAAGCATCTCTCTTCCCTTATGTGGTATTCCATGTTTCTCAAAGAGATCCTGTTTCGTCTTTAGGTGTTTGTCCATAGGATGCAAAGTATGGAAGTAAATTGTGGTGGAAATAAATCAGGTGATTTCTTCAACAAAACAAGATAGAAATGCCTGGAATAGGAGACGTTTTGAATGKTTTGTCTGCTGTCTGGATGGATTGTGCTTTAGAATGATAGTAATTCKGCTGTAACTTGTATTGATATTTATATATTTTTTCTTAACAGTGACAAAGAATTTAAGYGAGAGAAGAGGGGCAAAATCCTCAGAAATGTCTCCAGTACCGATGCGATCAATTGGCCAAAGCACTAAAGCCCATCAGCATCAGCAAAACAGAATGAGCCAAGTGCTGCAGGTTCCGTCCGTGAATTTATACCCCAGCCGCAAAAAGGGACTGACGAAGGAGCACGTCACGTTCAGTGAGTATCTGCAGCTCGGCCACGGAGAGCCTAATAAATTAGGCAGAGGAGCCCTGGGGCTTATTGGAGATGCTCTTTTGCAGGCCTCACAGTTAGCTTCACTGTTTAAGGCTTCTTGGACCTTCTTAAAAATAGGGGAATCGCATGCTGTGTGTTTCAAGAGTAATTTGCCCTGGAGTTTGCACAGCTAAGTATTTAATACCTGGGGTTAATTGCAGAAAGCTGTCTGTAAATGCTTAATCGTAACCTGTCACTTGCTGTGGCAGTGGTTGTTTCTGGCGGACACCTGGAAAGTGTCCAAGTGTTTCACTTGTCCTGGATGGTCTAGCTGCAGGGGCTCCGTTACCCACGTTTGGAACAGGGCAGACGCACTTAAGCCTTTGCTCTGTATTGCTGCTTTCTAAATAGATCTTGCACAAACAGAGCAGATTAATAGTGCTTATATATTTTCATGCCCAAATAAACTCCAGTATATAATAATGAAATAGTTCAAACAAATTTCAGTCATCTAGTGTTTTAAGCTTTAGTATCAATATAATAACATGATTGTCAAATTGCAGCAGCATATGTGCAAATGTTATTTGCTGCTTCCACTTTTCCCTAAATTTATCAGTTGCAAAACAGTATTTTGCATTAAAATTCTTTTGACCTATTTGCACAGCTGCTATATTGTTTGAAAGCCACAGGAATCTTAAATGCTATAAGGTTAATTGCACTTAAATGATATGAAATGATTCTGTGATACATCAAGCATCAATATCCTCTATAGTTTCAGAAAATGGAGCAGCATATCCGTTGTGTTTGCAGCTGAAAGTCTTGTGATTTAGCTCAAATCTCCTGTCAAAAGTCTCTGCAACTTGATATGTGCCAGGAGTTTTATTTTTGATGCTCCTGTTGAGAGCTATCTGTTCTTTCATATGTTTTAAGTATTAATCTAACCTCCTTATCAGGAACTCAGATGAATTCTTCACCAGGCACATGCAACGTGGAGCAATAGTGAGAAGCAATAATGGATTAGCAGCTTTGCTAAGTACAATGCATTGCTGCTTGTGTTACGTGTTATGTAATGCCCTTAAAAACCGGTCTGACCACTCTGGATTCAGAAGATGTTCTTCTCTTGAGGTTTTATTTGCTATGATGTAACTAGCTTTTTTTAGCACTTCCCCAGCAGTTTCATGGGCGGGGATTTCCTCCAAACCTCACACTTCATACAGTTTTTAGCCTTTTTACCAAAACACTGATCAGTTTTTCCGTTGTAAAGGTTTCAGTTATGACCTGGATGTTTCAACACATTTCAGAGATCACGGAACAACATAGTGTCARCGGGTGCTTAGCCAAAAGAAGAATGTTCAGTAAATGATTCTGTTGTTTCTGCAGGCACAGGCTCCCCACAGAAGTCACTAAGTTTGTCGGAGGAAGTGAGTACCAAGAAGCAAACAGATGACACTCTGTCTATGGCATCTTCTTTGCACTCCAGCCCGCCGGCTTCTCCGCAGGGCTCTCCCCGCAAAGGTGCGTGTGCCGCAGASCCCTGCCCATGGGCTGTGCCAAAAGCAGGCTATGCAGAGGCMGAAATGTTTGTTGCAATTAAATGTACCCTAAGAAATAACACTTTGGAGCCTTCATATCAAGAAGCATCATGTCTTTCTATGACTTGCTGATAGATGTGGTTTTCCAATGTATTTATGTTCTCTAGCCTTCAAAGTACCTGTCCTGTAGGAAGAAGAGTAATTGTGAGTTCTGTGAATACTGTGCGTTCTACAGAGCAGTTTGGATAGGTACAGAAATAATGCATCCCTCCAAACCCTGCAGCTACTGTTCATACTTCTTGTTCTTGCGTACAGGGCTCTGTATACGCCCCTGTCTATCATGATGCCCTGAGAATCCCTTTATTTTTGATACGTTCATCTTGACAAACCAGCATCATCTCATCGTTAGCCGAGCTCGGATGGGAATTCCTTTGCAATGCCTTGCAGGCAGCCCGCGTGCTCCCTGCTGAACAGTGTAAGGTGGCTCTGCCTCCCCCGTGCCCCGGGCTGGCACTGCACGGCATGGCACCTGGCTGCATCGCTCACCTTGCCCGGCCAGACCAGGCTTGTCMGGGCCCACGGGAACCCACCGCTGCCCTCGCAAGGTGCTCTTTCCTTCAGGAGAATGTCACTTATTTTACTTAGCCACGGCATATGTATTTWWAAAAAAAAAACAAAAMAAAAAAAACCCTCAGATTGCTGAAACTATCCACTGAGCTTTTGGAGAATTGTTGCTCTTGGATCTTATTTATTTATACAAACAGGGTTTTTGTTGACTTTCATCTGGTTCTGAGAAAACTATTTTATTTCTTTGTGGGCTATTTCATTAATTCAACTTGCTGCTTTTAGTGTATTTTAGCACTGACCTAATTTCATTAAGGTAATCACTATCCTGTTGTTGCATAGTTCTAACAACTCATTAACCTAAAATTAGGTGCTTCACAGATAGCTGGAATACATAATTTCAGGCATGAACACATTTTACTAAACCTATATGCGATTCTGAGTGAAGAAAAAAGTTTTTACATCCACTTGCTGTTTTTCCTCTTAGTTTTCTTGTGGTATTTATCAAGATCTGCACTTTATTGCAGTTGGAAACATCCAGAGGGCTGACAACTGCAGTCAGCTGAATCTGTCYGGGTCGTCCTCGTCCCTTGCCAGTGAAGCCAGCAACAAGAACAGCGGACAGCGCAGCTACGGAATAGGTGGGGCTTATTTGCAAAAGAAAATTCAGGAGATGATTGTCAAGGCAAGAGACAGTGCTGACGTGTGTGAAAAGGGAGGAAGCAAGGAGGCGAGCGAGAAGGCAGAGCTTGAGCTTGAGCACAGGAGAAGGAAAGGAACCCTCTTTGGAAGACTTAGGGAAAGAAGCTTCTCCAGGGAAAGAACAGCCTTTGCAGCAAAAAGGGAAGCAGAGCACCCTCGAGCCTCAGAGAGGAGTGAAAAGCAAGAGGACATAGACAGTGATGCTCTGAGTACAGCAAGTATCTATGGCAACAGCAGCCTGCTGGCATTTCACTATCTGCAGAGGAGGATTAGAAGAAGGAGGAAGACTATTTGATTTTTAGAAGAAAGACTGATACCCATTTTGTACTGGATAGACCAGTATAATCTAAGTTATATTGCTGCTATGCGTTTACATACAGATTCGTTAATATATGTTTTAAGCTGTTTAATGTACCTCCCTTCCATTCGTGTTTTCAAGAGTAGGAGATATTTGCGTTGGTCATAATAAATCGCCCTTACAGTGCAGCAAGGAAAATGCTTGTAATGTCAATATCAGAAAATGAAGGAATAGGTACAGCAAACCTTCTGGCCCTCAGTGCTTTGCAAATGATGAAAACCTTAGGATGCTCCCTCAGTAACTTCCAGCATCCTTTTGGGTGCCTTAACGAGGGTGCTATTTTTACTCATCCAAAGAATTTGCAGGGCGATGCAAATCAAATGCTCATTGCCAGCATGGGAGGGTTTCGTGAACATGTTGGCACTTTATTGGCCATGTCTATCCTGCCCTTCAGCCAAGCTAAGATTAACATTTAATCTCTTTATATACCTTTGCCATGATTTAATAAGTCCAGTTTTCAGATACTGCTAATCTCTTTAGCAAAGATCAATCTTTTGACTGATCTCAAAGTCTTTGAGGTTGTTGATGAAGATTATCTCAAAAGATCCTGTCACTATGAGAGCTTTTTTTTATTGTGGTACAATTGTTTTAATTTTTAGGAGTCTGTTACACAAAAGAGGGAGTATTTAAGAATGTATAAGGAATAAGATTTTTAATTAAGGGTTGTCAGTAASGGTTGTCTTTAGTTAGATAAGAAATTGTAATTTTTAACGCTTCTGGATGTCAAAAATCTTATGGCCATAATCAAGCTAAAAAAACCAGTGAAGTCTCTCAAATTGCTATATGCTCAGTGGCATGGATGCCTAGCTCCAGATGCCATGTTTTATGATCTATGCAAAACTGGCATCAGTTTTTTAACTCATTTAAGATTATCACTAAAATTGTTCTTACAGAGCCTGGTTGTTTCATATTTTCTTCTAATATTGAAGTAAATATATCACAGTCCAGCTCAAAAGTACATGTAGATAGAAATGAAGTGAAAAGTTGAGTGATTGGCAGAAATTTAGGAGAAAAGAATGCTTATCTGAAGACTGTGCATCCATTAGGTATTAGTATCTCCGGTAAAGAAGGACAAATAAGCTTTATTAATTCCAAGCTCTTGTTCTACTATCAATGCAGCAGCTATTGCTTTCAAATAAGGGTTCTAATTTTGCGTGTTTATGCACATAATGCAAGAGATAGCCGTCTGTTACCTCCCACTGAGGCCAGGCATTTATTTTTTCCTGAGATGCAGTGCATCTCACTGGTATAAAGAAATCCAGTGGGAACTTGAAGGAAAAAGAAAAAAATGTCAAGGGAAAAAATAATAATGAATCCAAGGTTTATTGCCCCCAGTGTGCCTGATAGGAACAACCCACAGTTAGTAGGTCAGGGAGTGTGTGTCTGTGCCTGGCATCACCTTGTAGAAGAATTTCCTTGGGACCTAAGGAGATTTTTGTCCAAGTCCATCACCCTAAGACACAAGCGGGTCGGGAGCCTCRGGCTGTGACACAACCAGCTAATGCCCCGTGCAGGGTCTGTCCTGCAGGGAATGGCAGCCAAGTCCCAGTCATCAACCAGCTTGCCCTATCATTAATACCATGGTCTGGTCAGGAAGACCTGGGAGGGACACAGGGCAGGAGTTCCTCGTACTAAGTGGATTGTTTCTGTGCTAAGAACCATTTTTCAGGCCTTATTTTGTTCAAAGAGCAAAGAGAGCTYGGGTTTAATCACCCTGCAACATCCCATCAGACAGTGTTTATTGCCAGGACAAGAAAGGAACAGCTTGAAAAGGCAATTTAATGTCTCTCAGGTCAGATGGGATCACTTGAATTTAATAGTTCCCTGCTAGGCTGCCATTTGTTTTCTGTGCCCTTGCGGTGCAGGAATATGRATTATAATCCTGTATGTAGCATAATTAGGAATTTTCCTCTTACCTGGCCAAAATAGAGCACGAAACTCTCTCTAGGGTGCAAAGGAGTGTAGGACCAGCATGAGAATGAGGATGGGGAGGAACACAAGCAATGTGTGATCGTGTTGGGGTGGTGRAACTGGTCTGCAATGTGGGAGCGTTTGCCAGGGAGCATCAGCCTTTGCAGGGTGGGTGCCCTCAAAGTGCCAAAGATGCCCTTGGCCAAGCTGAATTCAGTTCAGGTCTTTCCCTGCTTCTCTAAGCTTAGCAAAATAAAAGGCTCAAGCAGGTTCTTGGTACAATATTCCCCATATCAAAGGTGCACCTAGGAACAGRTACTTTTGCATCCTGAATTCAAGTGGCAATGCCAGCAAACATCTAGGTGGGATGCAGCTCGTCAGAGCCTATAGAAATCCCTATTGGAAGTGTGAGACTTTCTTGCTGCTTGTGTTTGAAAGAAGTAATTCGTGGGCAAGACAAGCACAAGAAGTGCTCACGTGTTTTGGTGGGCTCTTTAGCTGCTTTCTTTGCATGGAATAATGCTGGGGGGCAGTCCAGCGTCTGCCAAAGTTCCTCCTGCCTTGGCTTCCCGACTTGTTGATTTTGGAACAAGCAGTAAAAACGAAGCGGGCCATATGGACCCTGGCAGCTCGCTTCCCCTCGGCCAGCACCTCCTCCTGCGCTGCCAGGATCCGTGGGAATTTACCCCAGGGAATCTGGCAAGGTTGGAGCAATTTAACCCCCCGCTGCAGATCCTGGTAGCGTTGGTTTGGACTGTGGTGGACATCCACTGAGATTATGGGTGTTGCCTGATTGCCTTCTTAAATCATTGGTATTAGGAGTTGACTGATGCTAAAATCTTTAGTTTCATCAAAATCTAGGCACACCAATCTATTGAAGAATGGCAGGGTTTTGGTTTTGTTATTTTGGATGAGGTTCCTCTCTGGMAGAATCGTCACCACCGTGATGATTGCTACAATGGCTCCTTACTAAACGCGCTCTCTTTCCCTCAGGCTATGCCCTCATACCTTCCACCAAGTCGGATAACTTCTCGGATTCGAGCCATAGCGAGATCTCCTCRCGCTCCAGCATCGTGAGCAACTGCTCGGTGGACTCCATGTCGGCGGCGCTGCAGGACGAGCGGGGCCTGGCCCAGGCCCTCCTGGTCGGCGACTCCGCGGGGCCCGAGCGCAAGGAGCAGCCGCAGCCGCTCGCCGACTACTCGCAGCCGTGCCCGGGGTAAGGGCCAGCAGGGAGGTGTTAAACGGCAGCGCTAAAGCAGGGACCGACACGGCAAACTGCTTCCTCTGAAGTGCATGGGATGAGCTTATTTTCCCAAGGAACTTGTGTCTTTTAGATGGAAAACAGCTTGTTCACGTCACTGGGGTTCGGATGGACACGCAGGGGATTGCAAGTGCGTTAAAAGCTAGGGTAATATTCAGCAAATGACTTGCCAGGTGGTGCTGAGAGGCAGCACAGTAAGAACAGGATGCTCCCAGTTATCTCTGAGCTCCACGATACCGGTCGCTTAAAATACCTCAGTGGGGTTTCTTTTGTTTATTAATGTATTTGTCCTTAATTGTTGCTAAGGCAGACTGGAAGCTGCCCTTCTCTTGCTGAGAGTGTGTTTGGAAGTGGTGCTGTCATCCCGGCAGCACCAGGACTGGTCCCGAGGTGCAGCTCTTGGGTCTGTTTCACTGCGTGGTCACACTTGACCCACAGAAGGCCGGCCGTGGTCGTGAAGGACAGTGCATTGCCCCAAGGGCCTGGCTGCATTCCGAACTCAGTATCTTCATGTAACTTAAAAGCAGACTGTTCAGAGCTAGTGGCTGCTTTATTAGGCCCTAGTTTCAGTGAGTTTTGGTGGGTTCAGAAGAGTTTTTGTGCTAGAATTCATAAAATGGAAAAGCAAAGGAAGAATAAAAGTTATTTGCCCATACTTAAGAAATGTTTCTAGATCTCATAATGTGTCAGTAARCCGAGGAGCAGAGGTGTTGAATTTTAGTGCATGCACTTTGCATGCATTTTAATGCAACCAGAAAGAGACTTCAGAATAACATCTAGCAATCATATGTTTATATTCTAAAGCAATTTAAACCTGGCTTTATTTTTTCCTATTTATATATTAATAGTGATTAATAGCTTTTAGCATATATTTCTTTAAAAAAAAAAAAAAGGCATTTTTGTCCTTAGGATTTCAAAATTTCTCCTGATCAAGATCTTTCCACTTACTGATGTGCAGTGTTTCCAAGTATCATTGAAATAAAACCCTGCCTCTCTCTGCCTGAACAAGTTTTCCTAGCTGCAACCAAAAATGCTTTTTTTCTCAATGCAAATATATATGTTGTGGGTTTTGTAAGTGCAAAGAGCAAGCCTGGTGGTGTTGCGGAGCCTGTGCCTGCCGCCGGGCCTCGAGCCTTCCCGGGGCGCCGTCCTGCCGAGACTGGCAGAGTTGCCCCTGCAGGGCAGCGTTTCTGYCTCTGCAGTCGGGTCCCTCGGAGCYGGCTGCAGACTTGGTCCCTCTGGGGACAGGCCCTGCTGCAGAGCGGAACAACCGGGTTTCTCATCAGAGCTGCTGTGTTTGGCCTTGCTGCGTAGTGTTTGACACCACTGACTGCTTGTCTCTGATGCAAATAGCTGGCCCCGAGAACAGCTCTGCTGTTTCAGCACCCAGTGAGATCTTTTTTCTGATGCCTGTTGTTTTCCCCCGTAGCTGGTCGCTGAGCAGGCCCGCGCTCATCCGAGGGATGGCGTTCACGTCGTCCATGAGCAGCGAGGAGATCTCCCACGAGCACATCCTGGTGGAGGCGGCGGACAGCGGCCGCGGGAGCTGGACATCGTGCTCCAGCAGCTCCCACGACAACTTCCAGAACATCCCCAACCAGAAGAGCTGGGACCTCCTCAATTCCTACCGTCACACCCAGCTGGATGGACCTATTGCTGAAGTCGACCCCACAAATTGCTAYTCTGAGGAGGCTTATTTATATTCTGAACCCTATTCCAAAAATAACAGGCAGTCCAAAGCCAACCTGGAAGCGGATCAGTCCCGGCAGAGCTGGGCCTCCTCGAGCTCCCTCTCGGACACGTATGAGACAAACTATGGGACAATTAAGCGGAGGGGGCTGGAGACGCCGGCCACGGAGCAGACGGAGGTTTTGGACTCTAAAGCAGGCACCGACACAACTTACAAAACTGTTACTTCAAGTACAGAAAAAGGCCTCATAGGTAAGCCCAAGCGACAGCTCCTGAAAGCTCCCGCATCTGGTTTGTATTTTGATATTAAGCTGTTTAGAAATGACATCAGCAGATCGGGGGACTGGATTGCATGTTAAATTCAGCTTTGTCATGTGGTTTTAATCAGAACAGTCCTCAGCCACTGTGGTTGTTAAACCGCCTTCTTTTGGATTAGGAAAATTAAAAGAGCAGTACGCTCCCCAGTCACTTTATGGGTGTGCAGGAGAACCATGTACGACTTTTGGGGGCTTGTTGGATTTTTTTGGAAGCCCTCCTCACTGCAGAGTTTCCTCTGGCAAGGAGCAATGAGCATCAGTCCTTTGCACGTCCGCGTACTACAGACCTGGCATGAACTGCAAAGGGAAGAACCGGATTAGGGAGCAGTGCAGAGCATTCCCACCTCTCCATGCTGCAGCATGTCTCAGTGCAGATTCCCTTCCCAGCTTTCCCGTATTTCTACTTCCATATAGTTATACCAGTGCAGTTTGGCTACACGTGAAAGGAGAGAAACTGGTAAAAGGCCTTTTCAAAGACAATTTTACTGATCAACTTTGACCGTCCTAGGGAATTCAGCTGCCARACTGCCCAAACGGAAGGAACCAGGTTATGAACAAGACAAAACACAGAGTGCAAAACTCTCCAAACTGTAAGGCAGTGGTGCAGCTGAAATGCTATTTAATTACTGAGCAGTTTGCTAAAGGGGGTTTATATTATCAAAGATAAATGCCTAAATATCACACACAGAGTGGGGGTCTCTGGATTGCCTTGCTCCTCTTTGGCTATATAGCAGAACAGGAGCACAGGAAGGCTGGCTCGCAGCTCCTTCTTGAGCTTGTTTTTGCCCTTGTATCCTTTCTGAAATGGCCTATCAGCCCTTGAACCATTTTAGGGTATGTCGTTCAATATATTCTATCTTCTCTCACAACTTTTTCCCTTAGTTTCAGTTTTGTTTTCATACTGCACCATATAGCTTTTTTTGCTTATATGGTCATAGCGCATTGGTAAGAAATGCTCAGTGCCATGTTTCAACAGAGATCTCATATATATCCTGTTTAAACACAGATGATATAGGTGGATATGACTTCGGCTTTGCAAATGCARATCTATTAATTAGGCATCTACAGTAGGCCAAAGATAACCTAGCTTTATTTTGCCATTTGCTTGTTCTCCAGGAACAACTTGTTACCACAGTCTATAGCATGAATTCCTAACACTGTAAACAAATTGAGACTCTTCAGCTCGTTTGCTTAAGGAATGCTGGTGTGGAAGGGTCCCCCAAATGGGCTGAGACAAGTTTTACTGCCCGGAACCCTTGGGACAGAGCTGGAAAACCACTGCCCATGTGCTAATGGGAGAGCRTGGACTTGGCAGAATCAATAAATGCAGAGACTTTATTGTTTCTTGGGCATTTCTGCRTTCTGCAGCACACAGTATTTCTTAGTGTAACCTCAGCTTCCCAAGAGCAGGATGCAATTGTAGGATGTTGTTACTGGACATTAAAGAAAGTTTTTCCATAGCTTTCACCTACAATAGAGTTACGTAGCTGTCTGTTGTACCTTAATGCTGCTTTAGTTTTAGGCATTAGTGCTGAAGACTAGATGCTACCTCTAGGAAACCTGTCACAGTTTTCCATAAAACTGCATCCACCCTTGCAGATATTACTGCAAAACCATAAGGAYAATAAGGACCACTTCTGCAAAACCATAAGGACCAAAGATGAGGGAGGACCAGCCCTTGCCCATCCCTTTGGGGAAGGCAAAGCTTCCTCTTACTCCATAGAGGCCCAGCGCTATATCAATATATATCAGTGTTATATATCAGCCCAGAGTATATCAATTTGCTTTTGTTTATTGTAACTTTAATTTGTTTATTACCATAAGCTCAAGAAGTCTCAGATAAAGTACAGAATGACTCTCCTTGCTTTGACCTACACCCAGCATTTCTCAAGTCCAGGACACAAAATAAGAAAATGCTGCTTTATTTTCATTCTTCCATATTCTTGTAAGATCAGAAATTACTGCAGTTGTTAAAAAAAGTAATGAACATAAAGTGTTTTAAATGCACTCACAGCATGAATGTAAATTCACTCAACTAATAGAGTTTTAAAATTACCCTGGCTTTGAAATTACCCTGCATGGGAAAAGCCTGATTTAACATGCATATAAGTCCTAAAATTGGGAGTAAGTGGGAGAGAAATGGGATTTACAAAAAAAGTTAAGTTTTGATAGCCCACGTGACCTGACCTGCAGGTGAATAGGAAAGAAATGTAGAAGATTTTGTGGAATGGACATTGCAAATTAGTAATATTGATTATAATCTCTTYTATGACTGTAAAAGGTGTAATGGAGCCTTTCCAAGGCATGTGTTGCCAAACTATTCACACTTATTCCTCACTTATAAATAGGGAACTTAAAATTTAGGATGCTGGTTTAGAAAATTTCTGGGTATTGCAAGTCTGGGTATTGTAAGCCGTTGTTGAGTGTTAGAAAATGCAAGACCTTGGCTGCAGGCTCTTTCCCCTRTAGCACAGATGGGCAGATGGTTTAATATCATATTACGTAGTGCAAAACACATACGATATCATATAATAATGACCGTGCTGAGCCACAGACCTCTCTCTCGCTGGTGAAGCGGCTGCTGTTGACACGCAAGTCAACAACAGCCCCTCTTGCTGTGGGCAAGGGGCCCCTTCCACGGCTAGCCCAGGGCCCCCGTTGTATCTCCAGCTCCGTGTCTGCTTCACTGGCATTTGCCTCACGAGTTTGCTGGTTCTCTTGCTGCTCTTGACCCCTCCAGAGAAGCCCAAAGCATAAACGAAAAGCCGGAGTATCTGCTGCTGTCGTTATAAGTCGTTATAACCGGTGTTTCTGCATTTGCGTTTTTGTTATCAGTTTCTGTTTTGCCATTGTAACATTTCATGAATTTTTTAACGTTTTGTTTTCTTTGTTTTTTTTCTTCCTTTTAACATCTCCATGGCTTGTTTCTGGTGCCCAGTGTACTGTGTCACCTCACCTAAGAAGGACGATAGGTATAGGGAGCCACCGCCCACCCCTCCGGGCTACCTGGGCATTTCTTTAGCGGACATAAAGGAAGGATCGCCCCACCACCCGCACCTCAAACCTCCCGACTATAGTGTGGCCGTGCAGAGGTCAAAGATGCTGCACGGCGACCTCTCTAGACTCTCGGCAGCTCCTCTCGGTAGTGACGCGGTGGCCTCTATGTCCTCGAAGATGCCTCCGTGGCATAGTCGGCAGCCGGCCAGCCCCCAGCTAGCAGATGTGCCTGGCGCAGATAGTGAAGAGGATGGTAGGTGCGACGCCCGGCGCGGTAGTTGTCGCGGGAGCCGCTCTGTCACCCGCTCTGTGCGGTGTTGCTGTCACGCCCGGGCGCTCGGGGGGCTCTCCCGCGCCGCTCTCTGGGGTGGACGTGTGTCTGTGTGTGTGTCTGTGGGGCTGTGCGCGCACACCCGCACATCCCGGGGTGCGCACGGGGGTCGGGAGGACGCCTGACAGCGACAGGCGGGCGCTGCAGCGGAGGGAGCCCCGCGCGTGGCACGGCACGGCACGGACGTGCTGCCCTGCCAGAAATCCCGCCCTGGCGCAGCTCGCGCCACACTCTCAGGCCATAAGCTCTGTGCCAAAAGCTCCAGTCTCTTTGGCCTCATTAATCCTCATTAATTTATGTCCCGCTGTTYGGGATGACGACCTAAATTTCAAATTCGGTGGGATTTTGTTCAACGCTTGCTCTGGTCCACGTTCCTGTTCTCCTGCACTGGCACTAAGCTATTCCTCCACAGTATTCCTCAACAGCCAGTTTTGGAGCATGGATCTAAAAAGCACTGAGCAAAATGAATGTCTGYTCTTGTGAAAAATGCCTTTAATAAAACCTGACTTCTCCGCCCGCCTTGGCCTGACAGTGTCTCTTCCTGTTAAATTCTTCYTGACCTTGTTTGAAGCAACAGGCAATGCTGCCGAGTGCAGAATATCTCATGTGACCAAAATGCCAGTGATTTTTCCAAAAAAGACCACTCTTAACTGTGTGTCAATGCTAACTTCAAGCTAGGAGAATTACCACTTAATTATTTATCTGCTGATTTGCTTTTAACACTTGTGCACTGATGTGATCTCTCTGTACCCCTTGCTAATGAACTAATTTTTTAGTAGAATGTTGTGGTTGCCTGCTTGGATTTCAGTCTTAAAATGAGCACGACTTAGAACAGTTTCTCAATCGAAATGATCCTATCCCAGCATTTGTAATACTGAAACAACACTTAACATATATTTTAGTATTGCAATTCAAGGTAAAACTTAAAAATTACCCAGCATTAATTGAATTGTGTTGCTAAATGCTTCTGATACAAAATAAAGAAGTAATTGCTTCAAACACTATAATCCAATTTTTTCAAAGCTAAATTTAACCATATACTTTTAGATATACCCGTGCTGTTTTTAAAGTGTCTGGTTAATTTTACCTGGAATTCCTCTGCAAAGATCACTGCATGTCCGAAAGCACCTTGCTGGCTTTCCTCCCGAGCCACGGGCTGTTGGGGTGTGCATGCTGTGTAGTGCCTGGCGCCTGGAGGATTTTGACTGTTTCAATCTAATCTTTATTAGATACTGCCTCGGGTGACTGAGGATATCTTGTAAAAGGGCCGTACTTAGTGTGTTGTGGTTGGCTGTGAAGGTGCTGAAGGCTCTTGGTGAAGCAGTGCCCTTCCCGTAGCCGCGGGGCCGGGCTGCTTGGGGCAGCGGCACGAGCACGGTCACTAACTCACGCTTTCTTCTTGCCTTGCAGAAGACGAGCAGGTTTCAGCAGTGTAGGGCTGCCGCCGGGAGCGCTCCGGAGCCGCGGGCCCGTCCCGCCGGCCGCGCCGACCGCTCGCTGCTGCTGACCCCGAACGCCGCGTTCGTCCCTGCCGGGGCCGGCGCGCCGCCTCCGTGCGCCGCAGCCCGCGAGCAGCGTTGCTGCCTGCGCCCCGGGCTGCCCTCCCGAGGGGACACCCCCACGACCCGCATCACCACGTGGACCACGCTTCGTGCTTTCGGGAGGACCACTCATGGAGACCACGCGAAGCTCGGGAGCTCTCTTCTGCATCATACCATAGAATCCTTTGGTATTTCCATTGTCGTTATTTTCTACGTTACAAATCTAAGAGGTTATTTTATGAACACATTTAAAAAAAAAAAAATCAAGTTGTCAGCAAAACTGAAGGACACTGCTGCAGTATCTAAAAGTAATTTATTAATTTAAAAATGTTTTGATGGGAATTTCCTTTATTTGTGTCGGGAGTACTCTGGTTGGCTAAGAAGCATTTAATCAACGTGACAGTAGGTAGTTAGACGTAAACCGTCGTGCTCCCAAAACAGCCAGGATAACTAGGAGCCCACGCAGTGGGGTGGTGTCAGAAATATCGGGAGTTTAAGGCATTTTGGGCGGGTTAGCACTAAATAGAGGAAGAAGCCTTGCCCGGCATGACTGTATTGGGAGCGGGAGTGCTGTGGCCTTGTGGTTTTCTATTCCAAGGACAATCCCAAAGCCCACAAGTCTCTACCATGATCTCAGATGTGGTCTGGGCTGCATGTCAACTCCTCCAGGCTGCCGGAGCCGGTGAGTTGGGAACTTCCTCAAAAGAGCTTCAATTCTCCCACAGCACACAGAGCATGTCGCTAGAAACCCAAAGGGAGGTGTGTGTCGTGGGACTTACCACCATCCCCTGGAATCCTTTCTTTTCCTGGAGTTAACCCAGGATTTAGGTGCAAAGGTTAGCCTCAAACAAACAAACAAAAAAGCCATTGTCTCATTTGCACTTCCGAAACTGAACCTGAAATGACAAATACTCATGTACACAAGTAGTGGTGTGTGCCTGAGTGCCCAGATGCGTTGTGCTCATCTGGAGAAGACAGGTAGTCTCAAGCCATTTTATTTTTGTAAGTCTTAGGCTAAAATCCTGGTGTTGCTGATGTCGATCAAAGCTTTGCCTTCAAGCCAGTATTAATGTGGGATAGCTTCACAGTTTCATAGGGGTAAGTAAATTGCTCATTTGATTTTTACCTAGCCAACCAGAGTGCGAAGGGGTAGAACTGGAAATACCTGCATTTTCTTACTTTCTTCTAGCACATGACGCCCCATCTAGTGTTAAAATTGGACATGAATGTGTGAATATGTATTTAAACATTTAATTGTAAATCTTTGTTGTGATGTTTACAGCCTAGGCTAGAAAGATGTTAGTCATTTTTACAGTGCCTCAGAAATTATTTCTACATCCTCAGTTGTGAAGAGCTTTAAGGTTTTTCTGTTCTGTTCCATACGTGTGCGTTGGGGTGCAGGGTGAATGCAGCAGTTCCTGCAAACACCACAACCAAAACCGACCCAAAACCTTCGACGTGCTTCCCCATATCGAACTGGGGCCCATGCCAGTGGTGACTGAGCTGCGTTTGCAGTCGTGGCTGTGCAGGGTTCAGTCCTACCCCTAAGCTGAGCTCACCCTACAGCGACGGTTGAGCAACCGAGTCCTAAAGCAGCCCCGAGCTGCGACGCTGAGGAAAGGGAGCCTAACTCATAGTCAGTTAATTGGCTCTGTTTAATTTTTGGCACAAGCATCTGAGGAGCAAATGGTTAAAAACCATACTAAAAAGCAGTCGAGGTATTTCGTAATAGATATGTTTTGCTTTCTTGAGGCCTTAATGAATATRATGAACTTGCACAGGCCTTAATGAATAAAGATTAATATAAGTGTCAAAACAATGCAGGGCAGAGCAATTATTTTCAGCATATGTAATGTTGATATTCCAAGTGTTGAACTGATACTTTGTGGGATATAAATTGGAAGCTCTAGCAATCCCACTGCAAGCTGCTGCTTAGCTTCGGAGCGCCGTGTTTCCTCACCAAAACCACGTGTTTTGTGCCGGGTAGATGACATCCCAGCCTCGCCATGGCCTCGCCTGCCGAGCCGTGTAGCCGCTGCAGCCTCGTGAGCGCCGCGGAGGGGACGGAGGCGGCCGGCGCCGGGACGGCCGGTCCGCGGGGAGCCGGGAGCAGCCGGAGGGTCCCGCGGGAGCCCCTTGAGCCCTGGCGTTGGGGCGTCAGCGGCGTCGCCCCGTCCTGCCGGGACACGCCGGGTTTCGCGGCAGCGCCGGTCCCGCTGCTCCCCGTCCTGGCGCCCGGAGCGGAGCGGCGCCGCCGGGCCCTCTGCTCCTGCTGCCCGCTCCCGTTGGCTTCTTTGTGTTTAAATCCACCGATCACATTGATCGGGGCCCATAGCCCACTGTAGTGTGTCTGGTGTGGATTTGAAGAGACGGTATCCCTTTTTTCAGGGGTTGAAAGGGAAGTAAAGCTGTGGTTAGTCCGTGCTGTACTCTGTGGAAGCCACGTCCTTAATGACTGCCAGCGCTGGCTCCTTCCTCCCCATCCCCTTCCCTCCTCTGCCTCCTGATGGAGAGGGAAATTCCCCGGTGGGATGTTCTGCTGCTGCCAGACCCCAGCTTGCTCCTCTGCTCTTTCCTCGCTCATCACATGCAGGTCGGAGCTTACATGTGACTCCCTGTGCTCCAAACATGAATTCCTCGGAGCGCTGCTGAATCCCGGCCCTCTGGGGAGCTCCCAAGCGGTGTGGCAGACCTGGGAGCTCCGCTCGCCGCTCCGGGGGCAGCAAAGGGAACATGAAATAGCTGCAGTTGTGGCCTCCCATACGTACAGTGTAATGAAAAGGGAATTTCTGCAGGTGCCGGCAGCGCGTTTCCTTTGAGACGTGTACGAAGGAGAGGGACGGCGGCGGGGACGGGACGTGTCCTCCTCATTGCCCATGCTGTCCGACTGCAGGCAACGGAGCGGGTGCAAAACTGGCCTGTAAGTCCCTRTAAAACACTGGGGGTTTAAAGATACACTTGCCACAGCCTTCTCCCCCCAGAAAACAGAAGAAAAAAGGGATACTTTCTCTTTAGAAAAGCTTCACACGTTATATTTTAGAGTGCTTGTACAGAGGGCAGTCCCCCTGGGATTCCCTGTCCCGCTTCTGCTTCGGTTGTGCTTTTTATGGTTTTATCTTTATTTTTGATATCCCTGGAATGCAGTTGAGCTTGGTATTAATTAAGTTCTAAATGTGTGAGCATATTGGCAAAACTGCACAGATGTAATGATATTCCAATAGCAATTGTACTGCACAAGTCAGTGATTGTAAAGTATTCTGTAACAAGCAATGTTTGTCTCCTATTTTTTGATACCTCTTACACTTATGTCTTTTAGAAAGACAGTGCCTCTGTATGCTTTTTGTATTTTTACTGAGTGATTGTAAATATTTGTTATATTTTTGGTTAAGAGAATGTTTAAAAGTACTGTTTATTATCCAATCTATTAATATGTTGGAATCAATAAACAATCCACGTAAGCTTGGTGGCCTCCTTGGTGGCGGGAGCGGGTGCCCGAGGGGGATGCGGCCGGAGCCCTTGGACATGTCGCCCAGGCCCCATGGGGATTCCCTCCAGGAATTCCCTCTGGGGATTCCCTCCCTCTGGATGCTCCAGGTGTTCCCAGGGCGCTGCAGGACCCAACGTGTCAGGTAAGGTGCTGGGTGCCCACTCGATCAGGGCTGTCGTGAACACCCCTGTGGGCACCAGGTCCTGTGCTGGGACATTTCCAGGTTTATTTCCAGCACTATTGGGTGGTTGTCACGTTATTTATTGTTTACCTCCCCAAGATCGTGTCTTGTTTTGGGATGAGAACTCAGCCTGTCTTATTTTAACCATTTAACCCTTTCCAGGCCCTCTCCTTTGGCTGGACCTAGYAGCCGATGTGGGTGTTTTTGGAACTGCGTTTGTCAGCAGCAGGGAGGAGGTTTCCCCGCAAGACCTCAGGGGCACCCGGCAGCGGTCCCGTCTTTCCACAGGGACCTTGCACGAGGAGGGATGCCAAACTCCGAGCAGCAGCAGGTGGGGTGGAATGAAACGACGTGAGGGACGCGGGCCACGAGAGGCCAGCGCTGCCTYCATCACACGCGGCCCTTGGTGTTCTTGTTCATCCTCGTTCCTCTTGGACCGTGTTTCTTGGTGCTATTGGCCCCTTGTGCAGGGCCTGCAGCCTTTCCCTGCGGACCAGCACAGTGGGAGAGCACAAACAGGAGGAAATCTGGGATGGGAGCAGGTAGCGCCTGGACTTTCCAGTGTCCCCAGCGCTGCTCTGCCCGGTGAGCGGTTCTGTAAGATCGGACTGGGAAGAGGCAGCTGCCTTCTTTCATTTCCTTCTTTCCTTTCCTCCTTCCTCCCAAGGATTTTCCTTTCCTCCTTTCCTTTCCCCTTCCTTTGCTGACAATCCCTCTGCTCCTGGCAGCCGGCCGGGTGTCCGCGTTGCCGCTCTGGGATGAACACGGCTTCCAGCACCGGTTCGGCTCGTTGCGCTGCGCTCATCAGCCGAGGAGAGTAATTACCAGCGTGACAGTTCTGCAAGTCAGGCTGGGCTTGGGAGAGAGGAAGAAAAACGGTAATAACCCAGTTTCAAACGTAGAGCTGGTTGCATTTAGCACTCATGAGTGGCAATAAAAATGAAGGTTGTAATTGCGTCTGCAATTTCAAACCTCACAACATAATTTCATGCTCTCAAACATCTGTTTTAGGATCGTTGCTGAGTATCAGATAACTTGCTGTTTTTTTCTTTTTTTTTTTTTTTTTTTTCCTTTTGGGTGCATCATTCAGGCGCCATCAGGTTTATTATAAATTCAAAGCAATTTATTAGCAAACAGCCCCTGTGCTGGGGGCGGCCAGCCTGGCCTGGCCTGGGAAGGACAAAGGTGCTCGGAGCAAGGGCTCGGTGATGCCGCTGCTCCCAGAAAGAGGCCGGGATTTTCCCGCTGCTCCCTGCATCCCGGCTGGTTGATGTCCAGGCTTTGCATTTG